GTTGTTGCAGCTGTTGTTGCAGCTGTTGTTGCAGCTGTTGCAAATCTTGATTTTGGTTCTGCGGCACGACGGGCACGACGATTTCTCCTCTACCTGCATCGACACCATCGTTGTTGACCGCTAGGGCCATGTTCGTGTTGTTGCCGACCGGGGGCGGCGGAGCGTTATTCATGTTGGCGTTCGTGATCGAATTGGACATGATATGAAGAAGGAAGAAGGAATGGCAGACGTGGGTCTGACAAAAGATCTGTTTTATTTTGCCTAACCCGATCAGGCAACGCCTCTTTCACGCGTTGTCTGACAGCACCCGTCACAGAATTAACGCAGCACTGACCAATCTGGCCTCCGACATAAACTTCTTTGTGCCGCTTCTCTTGACGTATTAAAGCTAGACATAAGAACACTAGAGAACAACCACCAAGCTCTATCTATCTCCAGGATTCTAAAACCTTGGATGGTAGCGAACAAAGAATAAAAAGTTAAACAAACAAAAAGGATTCCGATTATCTAGAGGCTTTACACTCAACCCGCATAGGACGGCAAAGAATCTCTTGCACTGCCCCAGCTCACACGATAATGAGCTGGAGCTGTACGTGAAACATGTGCTCTAGCTAATTAGGCTTTGCGTTTGGCCAGATTCGAACTTGTGTTGGGCAATGGAGATTGGTACCTAATACCACTGCACCAACCGGCGGAACCATATTGCAAGGAAACTGGCTTAACCAGCATATAAGCCCCCTTTTGTGTTAGCTGACTAAGGGCCAAGAAATTCCCTTTACTACAGCTTTGGCGCTCTTTCGACAAGAGAATCCTAGATATGATGTCGTTGTTTCCAGAACTTATTGTAGTTGTCGATTTTTCTCTATAGACATGCAATTTTATTGCTCATGTGCGCACTTCAACACAGGCTAACCAGTAGTTTTCATTTTCTTGTCGCAATTCTACCCTATCCGACTGATACACAATGCTTCATACCGCAGAAGTGTAAAACATTCTCTTTACTGACCCTTAGAATCACGACCACTAGCCTTTCTGACTGCGAAAGTCTTTTGAGCACGCTTTTTTGTTGGTGTAGTGGTGCGGCCGTTCAGTTCATCAACGGCCTTTACGATATCTCCGAGCATAACCTCAGGGACGTTCTTGTAAGAGTTGCGAGAACCTTCGGCTTGACGTTCGTTGGCCTTCTTGATCGCCAAATTCACACCTTCATCCCTGTTGCCACGGGTAAGACTAGAAAGCTGCTTCCACGCCTCTAGAAAGTTCGAGGAACAATCCCGCGCCATCTTGTCTACAAGGGTATTGCGCGGGTGGGCACTGGACGCGAACTTGTGCAGGCCGATGCCACCGCTGCAAGGCGAATGGACGGGACGGTGGTGACCCCACCACTGTGTAATGTCCTGGAAGACCTCGCCATCTCTCTTCCAATCATCACCAATCGCTCCGATGTCACGGTCCCTGACCTTTTTCGAGTTATCGTTGCACTGTTGATAGTTCATCGCCAGCTGGAACTGCATGCGCTTGGTTGGGCGGCTAGATTGTATCTAGATTGAGAAACATCAGTGTAGAATTCGTTTTCTTAAGTCAAGGGTTTGGACTTACTTCATCATCTTCACTTTCGGTGGATTCACCATCATCATCGGTAGCTTCCTCGTCAGATTTGCTGAACTCTGTGTCGCTTTGGGTGCTGTAACCGCTGCTGTCGGTATGCTCGTCTTGAAATGAAGCTAGCTCGGCGTTCACGGTCGCATGGTGGTCGGTTGTGAGGGAGTTGCTAATGATCGAGGTATCATCGTCCTTGGTTGAAGAATGACTTGCGACCTGTGGAGAGCTGGCAGGTTGGAGATTGCGATGGTAGGAATTGCCAGGTTGAGAGTTGTCGGGGTGAGAGCTGGCATGGTGAGACCCAGAGTCGGCAGGGCGAGAGCCGTCAGATCGAGGTCCGACAGAGCGAGGGTCGGCAGAGCGTGAGCTGACAGGGTGCGAGCTGGCGGGGCGGGGGTTGACAAATTCGAGACTTGGGTTGATAGAAAGTATGATGTCTCTAAACGAAGACATTGCGAATTGTGTGCGAGGCGAGTATGCACTGGAATTGGGTGGAAGGAACGAGGGAAGCGGGGCTTTATAGGAAGCGACGCTAAAAAATGGTAACACCCTAAGTTAGTTACCATCAGCCTGTTAACACATTGAAAGGCGTTGAAATTTTACAGTGGCTGCGCCCCCATACTTTCGAACCTTGCGTGAAATATAGCAAGCTACCATATACGGCGGGCCTGGGGCAAGAGAACGGACTCTGTTCCTCAGTCGAGTCCACGGATATTGATATTTCATGTCGGTAGAAAATGATTTGTTAGGTCGAGACAGTAGCGACGCTGTCTGGATGCTAGCACAATAAGAAGCATACGGTTCAGGCGGAATCGCGGAGGCTGGAACAACCGAGTACTCAGCCTCGAGGCACCCGTCCCGTATCACCGGATCCTCTCAGCGTTTCCCTCGTAGCGAAACCCACGGGTCCTACGCGCACACTCACCTCTTCCGCGCTCAGCAGATTCGGACCCTTGGAAAGGCACTCGTCAGTATATTCGGCTAGAATTTGCATACCCTTACGCACATCTCTGCCCTAATAACTAGAGAGATGCTTTGAGCAGTCAACACTAATCTCAACAGTCGGGAGCTGCTGACCAACCAAGCCGTCGTAGCCAATCTGGAGTGTAGAGTGACTGTAAGCTGGCCTGCCCCCATATCGAAGATCTGCTTGGTCGGCCGACTAACTTCATCGGGTTGCAGGCTAACTCACTGTCTCTAATATTTTAACACACGCCTTCAGTCGTTGACAAGTTCAACTCCATCCATCTCCACCACACCTTCAAGCCACAACCAAACGACAACCCAAAATGTCCAACACCGACAATACCAACAGCTCGCGCCCGCCGCCTGACGGCACCCCTCCCAGTACTAGCCCTGTCCTTTTACTGCACTCTGCTGATGGTTGTAACGACTTCAAGCTAGACAGTGTCATCGTCGCAGGCTCGAAGACTGGCACTCAAGCCGTCATGGCTCGCAGACGCGGCCAGGACAACCAACCTCGCTCGACTCGCAACCGTGGCGAAATCGACCAAGCTTGCTCCGACTACATCCTCGGCAATGCCACTGACGATCATCGGGACCTCCCTGTTGCGAGCGACGTCCGCCCGAAGCCCAAGGTGACAGACGTCGGTAAATCATTTGCTTACAAGGACTGCGTGCCAGCCAAGCAGATGGAACGTGAGTCGTGGATCCGCCGCGCTATGGTAGCCTGGGGCTTTGATCCCGCTGACTTTTCTGGATTTCTGGAATTCGTGGGCGGGATGGCGCCGTGGGAGGAGGTCGAAAGCCGTTACGGAGCTGGCCCACAGCACAGGGTACACGTAAAGTTCGCCGACCGAGGAGTACCCAAGCATCCACACGACTGGCCTGTCGGCTTCTCTTCAACGCTTGCAAAGTACGCTGACTAGCTATAATCGCAACTACGGTCGAAACCTACTAGCCTTAGAGCGCGGTGAGCGCCACCGCGGGAACTCAAGGATACGCGGCATACATGAGTTGCTCGTATCGGATATCAACAATGCCATGAATAGGATCGGTGAGGCGATCAGTGGTGGCGAGCATGTGTCCAGTTCGAAGCCTGATTCAACACCTCTGCCATCTGAGGACCCGACTTTGAAGCCTCTCGGTTCCAAGACATCTTCTACGGATGCCGTTAGTCAGGGGAACCTGATTCGTTGGGATGCTGACAACTGCCTGAAGCTGATCAAGGGCGAACGCACTGAGACGAACTTTGGAAGATGGGCGAGGAAGGAGAAAGTTGACATCACTAACGTAATTGTCCCTGGGGTCATGATCTCTTCATCAGAGGACTTTCTCCGCAGCAAGTTCGACTACGTCGTGAGACGCTACGTTGACGTCCACAACAACTTAAAGCAAGTCACTGAGACGTACCGTCACGCAAATGCCATCGGCGAGATGCGTGCCCTTCACGACCTGACTATCGCCCTCTACCGTGCTTCGGTCACGAAGAGCCACGTGGCTTATGTGAAGCACGTCCGCGAGGAAAAGGCCAAGACGATGGTCACGTTCTCCCGTAAGCCTGTCAAGAAGTTTGGTAATTTTTTCCGTTACTCCCCCTACCCTGCTCCGAAGTCCCACAAATGATATACGCATTAACGTATGCATGGGGCTCTCAGGCACAACACGACACCGGAAGGCAGTGGCTCGGGAATTGATACGGAATTGGTACCGCTACTTCCATTGGGGCTGTTGTACAATGGGTAGTTAGCTTGTCTTCTGACCAGATACTTGATGAAAGCTGCAAAACATTCAACGAAAACCCTTTCAGTCAAAACATTTGCATGTGAGATGAGAAAGCTGTACTAAGAAGATATACATGGTGTGCACGGAAAATGAGCAGCAGGGCGAAGGATATATTCCATTCCTCTGTAGCGCGAGATGCCTGTAGCTCGAGGGCAGGAGACTTACTCAGACATTGGATAAATTTTAGCGTGGATTGCCGCAAAAAGACATCAAAATAAAAGAAGCCGCTCGCAAGAAGCGAGGCGTGAGGTTTGGATAAGCATGCGGACAGATCAGGCTAATGGCCGCTAGAAATTCAATCCCTGCATCGCGTCATCTGGCGGGGAACCAGAATTTCTGTGCCGCCAACACGACCCGAATGCGCTTCGTTCCTCCACCATCTCTCCTCCGTTCTCTCAACTTCACCCGCTCTGTCTTCCTGCCCTCGAAAAGAATCATGGCCGACGTTGCTACTTCGTACCCGGGTAATTGCGCATCTCGAATCCCTCACTGCGCGCTTTCGACGCGCAATCTCTGCCGCTGCTAACACCTGCAGACCCCGTCCACATCGCCGTCATTGGCGGCACCGGCCTGCAGTCGCTCCCTAACTTCACGCTCGCCGCGACTCTCAATGTCAGCACTCCCTGGGGCATCCCGTCGTCGCCCATCTCGATCCTGCACCACCCGTCCCCCACAACGGGCAAGCCGATCCCGATCGCCTTCCTCTCGCGTCACGGCCTAAACCACGAATTGGCTCCTCACGAGGTCCCGAGCCAGGCCAACATTGCCGCTCTGCGCAGCATTGGCGTGCGCACCATCATCGCATTCAGCGCCGTCGGCAGTCTGAGGGAGGAGGTGCGGCCGCGCGACTTCGTCGTCCCGGACCAAATCATCGACCGCACCAAGGGCATCCGGCCCTTCACCTTCTTCGAGGGTGGCATGGTCGGTCACGTTGGCTTCGGCGACCCCTTCGACGAGGGTCTTGCCAAGGTTGTGCGCAAGTGCGGCCACAGTCTCGAGGGCGAGGGCGTCACGCTGCACGACAAGGGCACGCTGGTTGTCATGGGTATGTAAACTCGGACGTACGGCTGATTGGGCTGTGACTAACACTACGACAGAGGGTCCTCAGTTCTCAACCCGCGCCGAGTCCAACCTGTACCGCAGCTGGGGTGGCAGTGTCATCAACATGTCGGCGCTGCCCGAGGCCAAGCTGGCGCGCGAGGCTGAAATTGGCTACCAGATGATCTGCATGGCCACCGACTACGACTGCTGGCACACGACCGAGGACGTCAACGTCGAGATGGTCATGGGCCACATGAAGGCCAACAGCGAGAACGCGCGCCGTTTCATCGGTGCCGTCCTTGATGCCCTGTCCGCCCAGGAGCACAGTGATCTCGTCTCTGCGAAGCACCTCGAGGGCCAGATGAAGTTCGCCGGCGGTATCACCAAGCCCGAGGGCCGCAAGAAGGAGGCGCTGGACAAGCTGAGCTGGCTCTTCCCCGGCTACTTCCAGTAAGCGGGACAAGATACAAAGTGGCGGAGAGAGTTGGATGCACAGGTATGCTGGTTCATTGTCTGCAAGAGATGGCTGAGATGAGTCACTGTTCATAGAGCATAGACGGTGCGTGTCGATATCCCATACACAGTACATAGAGTAAGTGCGCGACGACTGCAAAGAGCAAGAAAGTTTGAAATCTAGAGACCGTTACATCAACTTCCTAATCTTACCCCTATGTCGTCTGCGATCTGGACCTCTTTCTCCATATTGCGTGGCTCGAGCGACAAACTTTTCGACCACGTCAACAAGCCACATCCGTCCGTCCCTGGTCTGCAGCGTGCGTCACTGCAGCCAACCACAGACCTTGCCCGTGCACCACGCCGACTGACGTTTGCGGGACCGGAATAATGGGTTTCGGTATTGTTTCAGACCCACGGAGTTTCCTGTTGTGCAACCATGCCTTGGGTTGGTCCGCACGTGGCTGTCGCAATCTGTCGTACTGAATTGGCCAGTGGGTGATGGGAGTTATGGCAAAGATGGTTTGCGCAGGTAGGTGACGCCGTTGACGCTGTTGACGCTATTGATCTGGCTGTGCTGCGCCCCTGTGGCTTGGGATGGAGCGAGATACGAAGCTAGTGTAGGAACAAAGACGAGCTTGCGCAGCTGGTGTGCTGGATGATGTGCTGAAGATGCAATAGCGTGCGACTAGTTAGGTAAGGGACAAGGGTTCTGGCAAAGACGAGCCGAACGGATGAGATGCTGTGCACGAAACAGGTCCTGGCCAGGCGTGCACGGGCCGCTCCCCCAGACGAAAGCAGGGACATGGACGCTACGTCATCCTCCCTTCCCGCAGCCAAGCTTTTCTGGCCATGACAAGCTCAGCCAAGCGTTGCTCCAGTGCGTTGTTGTCTAGCTAACACGGGTAAGACGGCCCTGTGATCTTGTTTTGCGCGTAACTGACGTTTGCTGTTGTCGCAGCGCGCGTACAAGAGCTCGCGAGGGGCCGACCTTCGTTCCTGCCTTCTCCATCCCTCCCTTGCCTAAGCACTAACTCCAGTTCGTTGCCCTCGCCCAAGCTCGAGGCTTCAGCAACTTTCCTCCACTCGCCAGTCCCGACGCAATCACAATGGGTCTCTTCTCGCGCAACACCAGGCCCGCCGATGCGAACACGGCCCACAGCACTGGCAGCACTGCCCCAGCTAACGGTCATCACGCTGAGAAGACGGGTCGCCACCACACCTATGGCGATGGATCGTTCAACCGCCGTCCTCCTTTTGGCCAGTGGCTGAAGACGACATGGTAAGGCACTTCCGTGAACCAGTCCGCGACACGCCTAACGATTTCCAGGCTTGACATCCTCACCATGGCCGTCATGGGCGCCATTGGCCTCGGTGTCTACCAAGCTGACCCTGCTCCCTCCCGTTCCTTCCCTGTCTACTTCGAAGACGGTCAGGTCGTCTACCCGGACTTCGCGTACCCGCGCCGCCATGAGATCATTCCCATCTGGGCTGCTGCTCTTTTGGCCGCTCTGGTGCCTATTGCCATCTTCTTCATCTGCCAGATTCGCATTCGCAGCTTCTGGGACCTGAACAACTCCATCATCGGTCTGCTGTACTCGCTCATCACAGCTGCCGTCTTCCAGGTCTTCGTCAAGTGGCTCATTGGTGGTCTGAGGCCTCACTTTGTATGTCTTCGCTGAATCGTTCCAGCACTACAAATACTAACAAGCCTCCAGTACGATGTCTGCAAGCCTGCCGTGCCCCTCACCGGCGCGCAGACTGGCAATGGACTGAAGATGCTCTTCTACGACCGCAGCGTCTGCACCGGCGACCCGTCTGCGATCAACGACAGCTTGGAGTCTATGCCTTCTGGCCATACGACGGCAGCCTTCGCCGGCTTCGTCTACCTCTCCCTTTACCTCAACGCCAAGCTCAAGGTCTGCTCCAACTACCACCCTGCGATGTGGAAATTGATCGCAGTGATGGCTCCCCTGCTCGCCGCCACCCTCATCGGCGGTGCCCTCACCATCGATAAGTTCCACAACTGGTACGACGTGGTCGCCGGCGCCGTCATCGGCACTCTCATGGCCTTCACCGCTTACCGCATGGTCTACGCGTCCGTCTGGGACTTCCGCTTCAACCACGTCCCGCTCGTGCGCCACGCTCCGTTCACGTACGGTGGCGGCGAGGCGGCCGCGCCGTTCATGGGCTTCCACGATGCGATGTGGACGAGAAAGGCGGGCTGGGGTACTATGGATGGTTTGGCCGCGATCGGTGGCGCGCCATTCGATGCCACGGCTGCTTCTGGTGGCTTGGCCAGTGCGGCGGGCGCTGCGAGCGGGTATGGTCACGGCCATGGCCATGGCTACGGTCATGGTGCTGGCACTGGCAACGGTGTGCGTCACAGCATTGAGCGTAGGCCGGTGGGAGGCACTGCGCCGCCGGAGCACATGGTCTAAGTTTGAGTGGCCTCACGCTTCGTGTGATGGTATTGACCAGTTCTTCCCTTTACTGGTGGATCGCGTGCGTGCTGGAGTATCGTGCATGCGGTGGTATGCGCGGATAATACATTGTTGAAGGTGGTGGTAATTCTTGAAGGGATTGGTTAGTTCTGATGGTGGTGGAAGACACGGATACCCCTTTTGCTGATTCTTCTGGTGGCTTTGCTATGAAGTTACTTTGTTAGTTGGGTAGTAGTTCTTAGTTTGCTGGACAGGCTTAATGCTTATGAGACAAGTATAATGAGATATGGGTTTTCTTTTATGATTGCTTGCTTCTTTGCTTGATACTTCGGTTTTGTGTTTTGGGGTTTGGTGCTTTGTGCTAGTGAGTGGTCATGGCCTTCCCCGTCTTGGTCGTAAGAGCTGTGGCGCGGCGTAGTGCAGGATAAACGCAATATCGTAGAATAGGCTGCTGCTGCGGGATGCCGTAGGCCACTAGCATAGGCGTTGGACCCTGCTGACGCATAACTTAGTGCAACCGTCGCAATTGAGTACAAAGGATCTGTAAAAAGTGTATGTCACGGCTTGCATGTTGAGTGGTTCGAACGTCCGAACTCCAAGAGAACCTTTAACATGTAAAATTATAGAGTTGTCTATATAAGAATAAATTATTTTCAAAAAGCAAAACTCTTATCCTCCTCTTGCATTGCAAGAGAGAGGACTCTTAAGAGAAAGCCAGGTAGTCAAAATAGGTATGTGCTCCTAAAAACCTAAACCCTTTTTATTAGATAACCAAACTTAATGTGACTACCACTCGGCCAGTGAGTCAGCGCGAGGACGTACAAACGAGTACGCTAAAATTTTCGCATTTGCAATTGATAAAGAGACAAAGAGGCCTTCTTACTTAACACGTATTCTTTCACATTTCTGACCGCCACATCATCTAGCCATAATCCCTCTCTAGGTTTATTAAGAGGCTGCTATTCATGTCGCTCCACGTATGTTATATATGTCTCGTCATACAAATTGTGTGTCGTGCTCAAACCTTTTCAAACGGACTAGTAGCCATATCAGCTTAAACCACGCCTGGATTGCTATGGATAGAGATTTAATAAAACTACAAAGGCATGGAAATATGCGACTAGTGTCGTATAAGCTTGGATGAGAAATGTATATGCCATTTGATATCACTTCATGGAATACGATCCCGCTCCAGCTCAAGGGCTTTGCAGTGGGTACACAGGAAACCTCATTGTGTAGATACGAAATCGTGGATAGCTAGCTCTCCAATGAATTTCTACACAGTCCAATTCTTTGTTTTATGCCCATGAAGCACCCATCTGCAGAACCACCCACAAGCTTCCACAGGCTCCGAAACATGAGGCTACGGAACCATGCCTTCATTCTAACACCCAGTCCAAGTCCAACGTACGTCTATGACACTTTTCAGAGACCTAAGGAGCGAAGAGAGCGGTAATGGTCGCGTTCGTAGAACTAAAAAGTGTCAGTATTGAGGACCGAAACAGTGTGGGCCGCTCAGACTCACTTGTGTTGGACCTTCTTGAACTTGTAAAAGCGCTGTAGGTAGTACCTACGGAGGCTAAGACGACGAGCCAGGTTGAGGGATGCACCAATTTTGCTCAGTGCATCATCAATGGCAGGGGAAGAGATATCCCTCTGCTGAAGGTTCTTGAGATGTCCCACGCTCTGCATCAAACCATTACGAGCGGTACTCTCGTTCTGACGAGCCTCGAAGACAGTGGCTCTCAGTGCTTTCAAATCCAGGTCGTCAACGGACTCAACATGCAAAACGTCCTCAAGGCTCAAGGTGGTACTGTTGTCCGCGAAAAACGCAGCGTTGGTCTCCAAGATGAGGCGAGCTTCGAGCAAAAGGTCCTTCTCGGCAGCGTCAGACAGGGCGGCGACATCGGACGCAGAAATGGTAGGAACAACTGCGAGTGCGCCCTCGCCCTTAGACTGGAGAAGCTCTTCATGGTCGATTGCGGCAAGGATATCGCAATGCAATAATTCCATCACATTCTTCCAGCTCGAAGGGCTAACAGGGCGCTGACGCTGATACTGCTGGTCGCGGAGAATGGCGACGCCGTAAAGTCGCTTTTGAAGGGTCAAACCGGCAAACCTACGGAGACTCGACAAAAATTGCGACGAAACGTCTCTGGCAGGCTTCTCTTGGATGTTTGTTCTATTTCCGACCTCCAGCACCGATCTCTTGGAGTGAGAGCTCACCCGACCTGGAGTAGGATCGACTAGTGGACGCATGTCTAAATCAAGACACTCTAGAATGTTCTGGACAGATGGGAGAATGTCCCAGTCCTCGCGCACTCCCTTGATGGAGCGATCCCGCTCCTTCTGAGTATCGTCGCAGCATTGGTTATAAGGCAAGTTGGGCGGGAACCGACGCTTGGTCGAGGAAGGCACGGTGGCGGAGGTTTCATCCTGCTCGTCGTCAATGGGTTGCTGGCCGTCATCAGGCTGTTGGTCTAAGACGCCCTGCTCGTTGGTCTCGTCATGTTCAGTGACGATAAACTGATCAGCGGTAGGTGCGTGCTGAGTGACGGTGGGCTGCTCATCACTGGACTGGTCGTCATTGGATTGGTCGCCGGTGGGCTGCTCGTCAGTGAATTGCTCGTCGATGGACTGGTCGCCGATGAACTGGTCGCCGGTGGACTGGTTGTCGGTGGGCTCGGCAATCTGATCAGCGACAAGAGCGTGCTGAGTGACAGTAGGTTGGACATTGGCGGGCTGGTTGGCCTGTTGAAGAAAAAGTGTCAGACTTGCGTTTAGAAAAGCCGCGTCGGAAGGGTGCCGGTCAGGCGGAAGGTGAAAGACATAGAGTTAGAGTGAGACCTACCACTTCGCGACCGCGCCTCTGCCGTCTGAGCGAGTTAGCAACACGGTTGAGAGCCCGGCGACTGGTTGGAGACAAGTCCCGGCGAGTAGCGGCTTCGTGCAGTTGAGCTGTCAAACGTTTACCAATATCGGCGCGGAAGCCGTGCGGTGCGGTGACGGGCGGGCGGGCCATTTTCGCGGGGCCGAATGCATCGGAGTGTAAGATTTTGAGAGCATGGCGAAGTGGAAATATATAGTGTGGGGAAAGCTTGGGTGAATGCCGTGTGAATGCACTAATGAATGTTAAGAGGTGGTTTAAGAAGATTCTGTTAACCATTCAGTCACCAGCACCATACGCGAACACGGGCCATGGCATCACTGAAATGCCGTCCAGTCATCACTACTCATATTCCTCCAAATCTGTGATCTCAAGCTAACAGACTCTAGGTTTCGTAATCTCGTAATATATACTGATAAAAGCTGTATCACAAAGCCAAAGTCCATAGAGCGATTAGGCGAAAGAATCTACAGAACGTTACTTTGTAAGACAAGCACTGGCCCCGACATACCTACCCGACACCTATGAGACTACAAACCTAAGTAGACGTTATATTAATGATTGGGTCACCAGTAAGGTCCACGGCTGTCGACCTTCAGGACCAACACGCGTCTGCTTTTCCTCCCAAGCCTTTCTTCCCTCCCTCACCCCAACAAAAATTACCAACGCCAACATGAATGACCAGCAGAATGATCCCTCGCCGCCCTAAAAGCGATTTGCACCGGCGATCGCGCCCATCCAAGAGCTCCTCAGACGAAAAGATGGGGAGATTCAATACCCACAGTGGTTTCCGACCTGAACAGCCACCCGTTTCACTAAAGAATCTTGAATGATAGAGTAGCTGTAGTTTAATCCGGTACACTCTTCATGGCAGATACAACCACCGTTCTGCAAATTATACACAAATTTCGCAGTCCCAAATTTTTTTTTGCCTCTCACTCCATCACTTCCCTCTTCCCTCTCGGCAACAGCGCCAATAGAACTGGCACCAACCTACAATGCCGCATGGCCTAGACAGGGAGTCTTCTACGAAAGTTTTTAAGAGCCGGCGAAGATGGCTTCGCGCAAGGAACATCAGAGGAACAATGAGAATATAGGGGATGCTGCGACTGTGTAGACCAATGTAAGAATCCGTCTTTCTTAGACACCGAAACCGCATGCAGTGATGATGGCAGTGTCCCGGAAGGCTAGTGCAGCAGGCAAAACACCGTCGGTTCGGTAGGAGATGCGAAAATAGAGCGATATTCCGAGAACATCTACAATCTAATATGTTCTATTCCATCTCTTGTAGTACTTGTCGTACTGGTGGTTTGTTGTATGAAAGATTCGTGTTAAAGCAGGTCGTGCGAAGCCATGCACCCACAAAAACCACTGTAGGATTTAAAGCCTTTCAGCAAAAAATTTGGTGCACTTGTTTGTGCGTCCTCGTGCTGGCTCACTGGCCGAGTGGTAATCGCTTCGGTTATCTAATAAAAAGGTTTAGGTTTTTAACAGCACATACCTTGTTGACTACCGGGCTTTCTTTTAAGCATCCTCTCTCTTGCAACGTAAGAGGGGGATAAGAGTTTTGCTTTTTCATTGTTAAAGCAGGTCACGCGAAGTTATGCACTCACCCAACTTACTTTGGGGTTATAGAACCTTTTAGCGAAATCTTTTAGTGTACTTGTTTGTACGTCCTCGCGCTGGTTCACTGGCCGAGTGGTAATCACTTCGATTATCTAATAAAAAGGTTCATGGCATTTGGGGGCTCTCTTTCCGATTACGTGGCTTTCTCTTAAATATCTTCTTCTCTTGCAGCGCAAGAGGGGGGGATAAGAGTTTTGATGTTAAAGCAGGCCGCGCAGCCATCTACTCTCTAGTATTATAAAGCCTTTTAGCAAGATTTTTTTGGTGTACTTGTTTGTACGTCCTCGTGCTGGTTCACTGGCCGAGTGATTATCACATCAGTGATTTCCTAATAAAAAAGCTCATGGGATTTAGGGTTTCGTCTAACTACATGGCTTTCTCTCGATAATCCTTCCTCTTGCAACTGCATGAGGGGGATGAGAGTTTTGTCTCTCAAAGTAAATGTTAAGAATTCTTTTGCTTTTTAATTTCTTTTTTGCAATATTCGTACACATGTTAAAGCATGGTTAAGGGCAACGTGCCGGCCTTGTCCCACAACAAAGCGAAGTGTCTTGGCAAGCACATTTGAGGTCCCATTGTCCAGAAAGAAAGCTTTCTTAGAGCAGCATGAGTGCCAGCTCCTGTGCATTCAGGGCCTCATCAGCTCAGACGTGCCAAAGCAACATGCACGACATGCCCATCGTCACTGAAATGGTTACAGGAGAACCTCCAGGCAAGTGTAGAACAAAGCCAACAAGAGACTGTAGGCAGCAGCAAGCAAGCCCCAAGCCACAAGCACAAGCACGACCAGCCAAACATAAGCACACACATTCCTCAAGAGCCTCAGACGTCAGACAGAAGTAGTATGTAGCATTCGCAAAGCTCAAGAAGAAGCAGCCACCCAGCCCAGCCTCGTCGACCGAGCCACACAGCAAGCAAACTACCTAACTACCCAAACTCTGCCACATCGTGAATCATCAAAGCCGTCAGAAAGCCGCTGTAGCGGGCGTACCAGCACACACGCACAACCGAGACGCCGTTCCAGCAAGTAAACAAGCAAGCAAGCACCATGTATGTCCCGGCATCAACTCCTCCCTAGAGAGCACTGCCACCGATCGCACAGACAGACATGCCGCTCCAGGACAGGCTGGAGTCCATGACACAAGGCCACTCGCTCACTCACTCACTCGCCAGCAGCCTGCTCCGCCGCGGCCTTGCGCTTCGCGCACGCGCTGGTTGCGCCACCGCCGTTGTTCTGCGCAGAAGGATGTACGTCAGTGAATCCAACGACCACAACAACAAAACACTCGGCTTAGACAGCACTCACAGCATCGGCACCAGTCTTCGCGCTCTTCTTTCCGCACTTCTTCGCGCCACCCTCCTCGTTCTCGCCACCAGCAGCGACTTCACGCTCGCGCTTGACGCCGGCTTGCTGCTGCTGCTGCTGCTGCTGTTGCTGGTACCGGTGCAGCTGTGCAAGCTGCTGCTGTTGGAGCTGTGCGAGCTGCTCTTGCTGGCGCATCGTGCCTGCGGCGAAAATCGGGGGAGGGGGACCGTACGGACCAGGTTGACCATTCGGACCATTCGGACCAGGCGGACCAAAGAGACCGGGAGGACCAGGAGGACCAAAGAGACCGGGGGGACCAGCCATGCCCATGCCCATGCCCATGTTGGCTCCGTTCAGCAAGCCCGGGTGCCCATGCTGCATGTAGTTGTTGTAGTTGTCGTACCCATGGTTACCAAGGACGGGGGCCGAGTGGCGGTGCGGGTGCGCCATGGGGGCGTTGTTGGTGGCGACAGTGCGGACATTGCCATGGCAGTCGACACCGGTGACGACGGCGTTCGTGTTCGGAGCGATCGGACCAGGACCGGGACCAGGACCGGGAGCGGGGTTGGGGCCGGGGCCAAAGCCGGGGCCGGGGTTGGGGGCGGCGCCCTGCGGCATCTGGGGGACGGCCATGCCGTTGACGCGGAGATTGTACGTGCCGGGGTGGTGGTGGTGCGCGCCGCCGTTCTGCTGCATCATGAGTCCGGCGGGGTGAGGGGGAGCAGCGGGCTCCTGCTGGGGCTGGCCTTGAGGCTGACCTTGGGGCTGAACTTGAGGCTGGCGAGCCTGAGCTTGACCCTGGACTTCACTTTGAGCTTGACGTTGACCACAAGTGACACGGGGATGAGCATGTACCTGCGGATTGGCCTGAGCCTGAGCTTGAACCTGCGCAGGAAGAGCGACCAGAGCCCTCTGAGGGTTGTAGAGATCAACGTCCGACTTGACCTTGATATCAGCGCCGTTGACCTCGAAGCTCAGGGAGATGTCGACACTGAAGTTGTTCGTACGGCGCTGCTGTCCGAGAGTGGTGAGGTAGGCAGAGATCATCTGATGGTCGACGGCGAGCGAGACTTGACAGAGCGCATTGTAGACGTTGTCGTGGTTTGCCACGTCGCGCATGCTGAAGTAGCGGCTGCACTCCGCGCACGACGTCATGGTTGCGGATGCTCGATCGATTGCGTCAAGTCGCGATGGAAACGAAAGTCGGCGGAGGACAAAGGAACGTGGGGTTGAGAGCTGAGAGCGCTTATGTGCGCTGCCGTGGTGACTGTATGTGAACGCCGACCGTGTTATGACCGTCAGTGTGGCTGTCAGTACGCTAACCAAGCAGGGAAAGTTGTAAAGCCACAGAAACATGGAAGAAGATGTGAGCAGACAGTCACTAAGTGCGCGCCGGTCGTTCTCTTTCCGCGTAAACAATTGCGACACGCTGCCACCAGGCCAGTCGTCGACGGCGGCGCATCTCAACCTTACCCATGACAAAAGGCCGATGCGGAACATTTGAATGCCAACCTCGAGCTCCATGAGGACAGCTTGCTCTAGAAATGAACAGAAGGATTAAGAAATGTTGCTCCCTTGAGCGCCAACAAGATACGTCACGTAGTATCGCGCTGTTGTCGTCAGCAAGTTGTTCATGTACCACAAAGTCATAAAGCGTACCAGTCCGTTCATCTATAAATTCAAACCGTGACGCCGTTCCGTAAGGGTATTCCTATATGCGACCTCGCAACGCTGTCCGCGAGCTCAATCAAACGCCAACTCTTCGTCCAAGGCGCGCAACACAGCCCTCTGTTCCTTTCTCCGGAGCTCCTCCGCATCGACCATCTCTTCCTGTTTCTGATCCAGTGACACCTCTCCTGCCTCCACAGCCTCGCGTTCCAGCCCTGCCAATACACCCTCGATCTTTTCCCTCATCCTCCGAACGCCCTCGACTTCCTCCCTCTTCTTGTTCAGCTGATCCTCCATCATGGTAATCAAGGTCGCTCGCGCCTGGTGCGGTCGATATTCGTTAATCAAGTGGTGGCAATTCAGCAGCAGCGTCTCAATGTCCTGAAACTTGTCATGCCAGAGCCCGGGGTTGATAGAGAGGACACCGACAAACTCCAGGAAATTGAGGAGTAGTGACTGTGTCATCTTCTTCAGGTAGAAGGCCCGGTCATGCGTCCATTGCGATTGCGTGCCTGCGCCGGAGGAGGGTGATGCGGGCGTTTCGGTTTCGGGCGCCGACGGGTAGAGTTGCTCGATGCCCATATCCTTCAGGGATGGGAGGGGCTCATTTATCTGCTTACTGTGTCAGCTACTGGTCAGAGGGCGTTTCAAGAGCTGCGGGCGCGCACATCGTAGTGATCGCCGAAGCTCCGGTATTTCCCAGACGTTGGCGGTTCCGGGGGAACAAGGTAGCGCAATTCGGCTGGTAGATCCGGCAACTTGATCGCATCGCCTTCGGATTGCTGGGATTCTTCTCCAGCGGACGTGCCTTTGGCTTTTGCGGCATCTTGGAGCTCTTTTAGGCGTGCGCGGTTCTCGGGGGTGAAGTGCTTGTAGAAAGGCGGAGGCGCGGGAAAGGTCGCGCTGAGTATGTTGTCCTGATTTTCGTCCGCCATGGTGCTAGATGATATGGATTTGAGGTCAGGTCTGGCTTCAAGATGGTGGCGCGACCCAAGGCCAGAGAGAAGCAGTTGGGTGAGGTTAGAGATCAGCGGCCCTGCAGCTAAGCTTTAGGAGCTTGGACCCTGTGCCTGCATCTACCGGACATCAACCGAGCAGTATGCACCAAGATTCACATGGAGCCGTCGCAGATGATATGATGACTTTCATACGTATGATCTATCAATGCTCTTGTTTATGCACCCAGCTTCTCCTGTGGTACCCACCCCCGCTTCTAGTGTGGCCGTGACCCATAAAGCTCCATCAATCAATCCTGACGCTGCCAACGTCGCCAAACGCCTTGAAGTCCGCCTCATCCTCTGGCGCTCTCGCCTCATTCATGCCTCCTCGCATGCCTCAAATTACGCTTCCAGAGACTATCCTGGAGGAAGTGCACACCCTTGGGTTTCCGGTGTTGACGTCCGATTTGGCCTTGTGCCGTGCATTTCGGCATGCCGGTATCGGGTCTATCAATCACAACCCGAAGGAAGTGTGATCGCGGCTCGAAGCCCGTGTTAGGACTTGGCCTAGCAGCTTTGGATCATAATCCATCTGCTACCGTAGGTTTTTGCTCCAGCGAGCACCAGGAAGCTGGAACGCGAGTTTCGTATGTCGTTACAAAGGAGATTAGATTGATCTCTCATTTGCGCTTGAGATGAGAGTACAGCCATCCGCCGCCGAGGGCGAGCAGCACGCCGGCCGCTTCGGTTTGCGTAGGCAATTTGCCTTCCAGGTACCAGCCGCCGGAAAGAATTAGGATAGTCTTAAGGTTGCCGACAACGTTGAACTAAGATGAGTTAGCAAATATTTACTTTTTCCGTCGGAGCTCAGCTTACAGTCAAGGCCGACGTGCGGCTAATGATAAGGAACTGAGACAGGTTGAGGAGACAAGCCATGACGCCAGAGCCGAGCAAAGACCAGTAAATGTTCGTGGGTATCGTGCCTGGAGCTCCTGTTAGCGCGATGATCGTCACCTAGATAGCGCGCAACTTACGGAAATCAGGAACAGTGTCTAAGACAGGCACAAAAAAGATAAGGAGAAAAGCAGAAAGCGGAGCCTGATTCAACAGAAGCTGCTGCGCAGTGACCTCCAAGTCTTCAATCTTCTTGCCGATCAAAATCTGGTAAAATCCCGTGATCACAACGGCTCCAACGGCAATGATCGCCCCAAGGGGATTGCTTTGCGCTGAGCTTGAGTTTGTCAAGCTCACACCAAGACAAATGCAGAGAATCGCTAGAGCCTTGGACATGGAAATTGGTGTCTTGAACATGACGAACGTGATCAAGACGACAACGGGCGTCGTCATGACTTTGGCAAGCTGATAAAATCCAATGGTGTTGTAGGACAAGGACATGTTGCCCAGGATGACATATGCGGTGAAAAGGACACAGATAGGAAGAATTTTCCGAACGGGCAGCCTGACGGGTTTGAAAGCTCGGAATGGCGCGCGGCTGGCAAGCCAAAGTACGGCGGCGGTGCAGGCAAAATGCCAGATGGTGAAGAGCACTTGGGCGTCATGCATTTGCGGGTCGGAGAAGATCTTTTTGCTCAGGAATACCATGGCAACCGTGGCGAAGGTATTGAGGGCGATACATAATGCCGTGGCAATTTTTTCCTTGATCGAGGGTGGCGACGTTGTCCGGTCTGGGTTCCATTGCGGGAGTCCAGTCGGGGATGGTGGTACGGAGTAGACCTGGGTCAAAGGTTCCTTCTTCTCTAAGCGGGTGTCAGCATGTTGGTGAGATGGACGCTAGCATCGGGCAACGTACCCATGGCTGACATGGTGGGGCAAGAAAACGGTGCTAGTAAACCAGTTCCCGCGGCAATGGAGTAGGATGACGGTGTGGGGAAGGGGGCTGCGGCCTTGTCAAGAGTAGCTCAATCTCAAAACATCCATCCAAGAATGAAGATGAAAGCAGGAGGGAAAGGCTAATATGAAGTAGTGAGGCGTGGCGGCGCAAGGCAGCAGTCAGCCGCTAGTTATAAGGCAAACACATGGAGTGGCTGAAAAAGCGCGCTTAGAGTTGGCCCCTAATCTGCGGTTTCACGCTCGGGGCTTGGCTCGTGGGAGTCGGCTTCCGCACGGCTCAGGGACGGGACCGACATGACCGGGTAGAGCGGGCGGTCGGCTGTTACGAGCATGGGGCGAGGGAGTGGATAGTGTGGACCAGTGTGTTTTCGATGCGCTGTGTAGCAACAGGCAGCTCTCGGCGAGACGCCTGCGCAGCTTCGACCGTCGCGGAACATTGTTGATGCGGGGAAAAGGAGCGCTCGCGACTCGGCAAAATCTCCCCAACTTCACACCGAACCGGATGATCACGAGGGAGAGACCAGAGACGCTACGACCGCCCGATACCAGAGCTCGGGGAGTGGAGGCGTCGACCAGGATCTGATCGCCGCGCTTGAGGAGCTCCAGTGTCCGTTTCGAGTAACCGAACGAATGATGGCGCGAGATCACAATGCCTTTTCTGGCGCCTGAAACCCTGTCGGACCTAGTCCCGTTGTTGCCAGCAGATCAGACGTCTCACCGTGCTGATGATGCATAAACGGCAGCAGCCCATTGCTCCCGACTCTGGGGCTTCCGCTGACCGGTTACCGGTGTCCCTGGACCGCCCGGCCGGATTTGCAAGGAATGAAGGTAGGCGCAGCCGGCGGTGGGCCTCAATGTTCGGCGCATGAACATGTCTCAGACATTCCGGAAGTGAACGAACGAGGCGCGGTCGATTAGGCGCGGTCGATTAAATCCCGGCCGGTGTTGGCAGCTCTCCCGCACCCGCGGCTCTCCCGAGCTCTACGCCGACCCGGTCGCAGTCATGGTTGACATACCTTGTATAGTCGTGGATATATTTCATGACTTGGTTTGATTGCTGTCAGGTCGACAATTGGCATCTGTATGTTCATCGAGCGCGGTGTGTTGGTCATGCCCGTTGTGGTCGCGCATAGGTATGATGTTGCTGTTGCCGACATTAATGCGAACAGCGCGCCTTCCAGACCCGAGCTGCGACACCCCTCGCCCGCAACCCACCCTCCCTTTTGCTCGATTCTTGCCTCCAAGCAATGATTGTCGTCTCCATCTAGGTCTTCTCGAACAACCATGCCGGTCTTGGGTTTCGGTGCTCGTCGCGCGCAAGATGAGCAGCAGCTGGGTGGATCCGTCTCGCGCTTCTGGCAGGTATGATAGCTGTCCACCGCCGTCGCATGTGGACTAGGGCCGACTGACGTTTATTTAGAGATCTTATGCCTCAGATTATGTCGGCCTTGCGATGCTGGTCGTGCCCTACATCCTGGTAAGTCGCCCATCGTCGTCTCTGTCCCTGTTTATCGCCCCTTTCGGCGGTGGACATTGCGGACCTACCCCACACGTCATGGGGAGAATCTTTACGACAGTACGACTAACTCCCTGTAGATCCAACTCCTGGTCGAACCCTTCCATCGCATGTTCTCCCTCGATAACCTCGCAATACAATTCCCCCATGCCGAAATAGAGCGGGTCTCGGTCGGCTGGCTCTTCATCTACGCTGGCGGCGTGCCATTGGCCCTGTTGATAGTATGGGCAGTGCTACTCAGGCCAGGAGGACACAAGGCGCATGTCACTATACTGGGCTTCTTCATCAGTCTGCTCTTGACGTCGTTTATAACGGACGTCATTAAAAATGCTGTTGGACGGCCTCGTCCGGACCTGATCGCGAGATGCAAGCCCGTAAGCCGAGCCATTTAGCGCAGGACCACATCGGATGCTAATATTGAATGGCGCTTAGGAAAAAGGAACACCTGCACACGAACTCGTAACCTTTGAGATTTGCACTGAAACCGACCACCACACTCTGCACGATGGCTGGCGATCCTTCCCCTCCGGACACAGCAGCTTTGCTTTTAGTGGTCTTGGGTATCTTGCACTCTTCATCGCCGGACAATGTCACGTCTTTCGTCCGCGCAGTGATCTGGCGCGCGTCTTTCTGGCCCTCATGCCGTTGCTAGGAGCTATACTCATTGCTATATCTCGTTGTGAGGATTACAGGCATGATGTGTATGACGTGACAATAGGGAGCTTGTTGGGAATGCTGGTTGCTTGGTTTACGTACAGGAGATATTACCCGGCTTTGCGGAACAGGAAGTGCGACACACCATATCCAAGCCGGGCAGAGCTAGCGGATGATCATGGTTATGGAAAGAAGCAAGACGAAGAGTCGAGGATTCAGAGTGCAGCTGATTTCGAGCTAGATGATTTGGACGAGGACGAAAGGGTCCCGTTGCATAGTGGGTCGTAGCACACGCTGGATGACCATTGTGGTACTGCGGTAAACAATATTGACGCCTGCATAAATACAAATGCTCACCAGAATTTGCGAAGAAAAGAAGCATTTATACAGAAACCAAAATGCCGCGGCAACGCGAGCAGCGGTATGGAGTTGTAAAGTGGGCATAGTGGTGAATGTTGACGCGCCATTTATCACCCGTTGTGTGATGGTTTCTTTTGAGGTTATTGTACCACCGCGATCGCGACCAAAGGTACATGACATGGTCGTGCGCGATCGAAAAACGGAAATATCGGCATTAACGTCCGTCATGTCAACCGCGATTCCTCGCCTAACGAGATAATGACCCTCATACGGAGTGGAAGAAGAAATCCAGCTAAGGGTTTGTAGTAGTGTGCTCTAAGATCCTTTCACTCATATCTAGGATTTCGGCCTGTAGCTACACAAGCGTGACAAGGAGTAGTCCGGAGGGTGAATCTCGGTTGGCCGAGGTTAGTCCAACGCCAGGCCGCGTGTGTCAGACGAAGACGCGGTGTCTCTTTTGCGCCATCGTCACACACCGCACACCAATGGACTAGTTAAGTTCCCGAGCTCTGTCATCTCATAATTTCCTCACCCTCCCATGGATTCCTCAACTGAACCAGTACGCGGCGCATCCGAGCGCGCTCCGCTTCTCGGCAACAGAGATGACGCTGCCGAGGAACTGGCTCCGCTGCCTGAGGAGCCTAGCACTACTAAACTGCTTCTCACCATGTGCAGCATCTGGGTCGGCGTGTTCTTGGCCGCATTGGGTATGCTGGTAACCTGGCTCTTGGTCAGCAATCTAACCGCATGCAGACTCTACCATCATCGCAACGCTGAGCTCACCCATTTCTGATTCATTCAATTCATTTACTCTCTTCTCTTGGCTTGCTAGCGCCTATCTCATTGCCAATGCTGCCATCCAACCTCTCAGCGGTCGGCTTACGGACATCTTCTCCCGGCGTACCGGCTTGGTGATCTCCAATATCTTGTTTGGAGTGGGGAACTTGATATGCGGTCTGGCAAAGAGCCCGACTTCCATGATCTTGGGACGTGTTGTGGCGGGTATGGGTGGAGGGTAAGTGATGTCGTATTAAATGCAGCTGGCAGCAATTAACGTCCTGCAGAGGACTCAACACCATTTCAACTTTCGTCACCACGGACCTGGTCCCTCTCCGCCGCAGAGGCCTTTGGCAAGGCTTTGGCAACCTCGCCTTTGGCCTTGGAATGGGTCTCGGCGGCGTCCTGGGTGGCTGGCTCAACGATATCTTGTCCTGGCGATGGGCATTCCTGCTCCAAGTACCCCTCATTGCCATTTCCGGGCTCTTGGTCTACTTGACGGTCAAGATACCAGTCAAGGAGAAGAACATGTCACGTGTCAGACGCGTTGACTTCCTCGGAAGCTTCACGTTGGTCTGCAGCCTTGTGTTGCTGCTGTTGGGCCTTAACTCTGGAGGTAACGTAGTGCCATGGTCCCATCCTCTGGTTCTGGTCAGCCTGCCATTGTCCGCAATATTCCTTTTGGTTTTCATTTACATCGAAGACCGCGTTGCTAGCGAACCGATCATCCCGGTCCGACTCCTGCTGCACCGCACTGTCCTTGCCTCTTGTTTAACCAATTGGTTTGGCACAATGTCTGTCTACGCGCTCCTTTATTACGGCCCCATATACTTCCAAGTCTTTGGTTTCAGCGCCACTCAAGCCGGCCTACGGCTCATTCCCCAAGCGGTCGGTGTATCCGTCGGCTCCGTCGGCGTCGGTCTTATCACGCGGGCCACCGGAAAGTATTACCGGCTCAACGTCGGCATGGAAACGGCCCTTGTTGTGTCTCTCGCGCTCATTACTGGCACCCTGGACCAGCGGATGCCTATCTGGCCACCATTCATCTATTTCTTCTTCGTTGGGATCGGGTACGGCGGCATGTTGACGGCGACACTACTGGCACTCATCTCGGCAGTCGACCATATCCACCAAGCCGTCGTTACGTCCGCCTCTTATGCTTTCCGATCCACCGGCAGTACCATTGGCATCACCGTCGCCAGTGCCGTCTTCCAAAACATCCTCAAGCATCAGCTGTGGGGCCGGTTTGCGGGCCGTGAAGGTGCAGCAGAGATTATCGCAAGAGTGAGAGACAGCATTGGTGCGGTGCAGCGGCTGCCACCGGAGTGGAAGGAAGGCGTGTTGGAGAGCTACATGTGGGCCCTCAAGGGTGTTTGGTCCACAACGCTGGCGATCGGTGTGTTGGGTGCCGTGTGCAGCTTGGCGATGAGGGAGCACACATTGCACAAGAACTTGGCGCGGACACAGGACGAGCGTGACGGGTAACGGTCTTGGCCGCTGAATCTGTCGTGCGTAGTGGGTTGGGGAGAGGAGGGAACGCTGATGACAATTTGGTTGGATGGGACATATGGATGGTAATGAGTATATGGGTAGGAGTTAGCAGTTTTTGATTTCTAGTTTGTTTGCGGTTTGTGTCGTTGGAGATGGTGGTCGAGAATGTCCATAGTGAAATATTTAGCATAGCGTCATAGCATGTTGGGCAGAGGGCAGCGAGTATATACAGCTAACAAAGTAGGTAAAAGCAAGGTCAGTTCTTGATTGTGCGAAGAGTGCTTCATGTCAATATAAACGCAGCCGGTTGTCCCGGCGGTCCCCTGCAACCCGCCACTGCAACCCCTCACTTCGTCCGCTCATTCTTCGTCTTTGCACTACAACAAACTCTTGCTATTTAATCCGCTCTCCCTGATCTATTGCGTGCGAAGAGAAAAGTGCGTATACAAAGCAGACTTCAATCTCGCATCCTCGCCCTATCTACTACTATTTTATAACGGTCTGAGGGGTGGATGTTGCTGTAATATGTATGCCCGCATCCAACCACAAGTGTGACATCTACGTGCACCTATGGAGTTATCTATGGGGAGCGTTCTGAAGGTACTACAAGCCTATGTACATGCTCCTATGAGGGAGATAATATTAAATCCGGAGGGATTTGCCATGCTCTTGCTTCCGTGGCGCACCGTGGGGACATATAACAACCTTCCCGCCGACCTTCTTACATACGAAAACACCATTCTTTCTGAATTGCAGGATGACATTGGGAAATGAGAAGTAGTGTGGATGAAAAGTCACTACCACACCCAACACCATCCCCACTCAACACCAACCCGGACACCAAGCCTCCCACCACATTCCGGACAACCACATAAACCTCAAGCCCAAGCACCCAGAAGCGATCAAGCAAGACACCGACGCGTCTTCAAACTCCCATCCAAACACCGCATCCGCCCACCAACCCTACACACAGGAAAAACGCCGGCGCAACATCCGAAACGACCAACCCAGTCCGGCCAAGCGCTCCAACAACAGGGATGCTCGCCAGAGCCAGAGCCAGGCGAGCCAGGATTCCAACTTCCAACTTCTGCCCGCGCTGACAGGGCACGTGATGCGCGACCGCAGAGGTACATTTACAACATCCCGCCCGGCTGGTGTAACGGACTTCTGCCACTGCTTATCTTCACTTTCTATTTCGAATACTCGTAATCCCAGCTATATTTTGATTTCGGCTTTACTGTGTGGTTGAGCTACGAGAAGAGAAGGCAAAAATGACGAATAAATCTGTCGCGAAGCACAGCGCTGCTGATGACCAGCTGCAGCACGTCGAGGCGCATGAGAGGAAGGCGAGTGCGGAGGCTAAGGTATGTACGCCGGCGTTGTATCAATCTTATTCCCGTCTCTCTTCATCTTCAGCGCCAGGCACCTCTCGTTTCTCATGCCCTTCAATACCTAACCATCCACCTAACCCACCCAGGCCGGCCTAAACCTTAACATCCTCGGCGCCCTCTCCGGCACCCTCTCCTCCTTGACAACCAAACGCTCAAGCACTGCCCCCGACGGAAGTGCCACTACCGAAGAGGAGCAGCGCACAGCTGTGAGGGCTGATGGACGCGGTGCTGCGAGTGGGAGCGCCGTTGCGGCTGCGCGGGCGGATGCTAGTGATCGCCATGTGAAAGAGGGACGGGTTGATCATTTGGGGATTGAAGAGTAGGGATTACCGAGGGATAGAGCTCACTGTGGATGGGAATTATGACTTGTGTGAAACGGAAATGGTGGGATTGGTTGTTTACTTATTGTTTGATGCTCAGGTGCATTTATTCTTACAGTGTTGCTATTGTTCAATATCACATATGGCACATCTCTGTTTGGTTTAATAGGGGTTTTTTATTTGCTTTTTTGTTTGTCTGTGTTGTGCGTGTGTTTGGGGGTTGGGATGGGGGAGGAGGGGAGGATGCTCAATGGTATCCTTACAGTTGCTATCGTGCAAAGTTGCATGTGGGTATTTGCATGTGAGTCTATAGTCACACTACCCCTACGCTATTGTCAGCGAAATCCAGTGATTGGTGGACCGAAAGAAATACACTTACAGTCTGTACCTAGAAAAGGCTTTCAGAACCCTCAACTCCCGAACTTTGGACTCATAGATGAGCACGTCGCGCAAAAGCGAAATCAGCTTATCGCAGTGTTCCTGTTTGATCAGCTCATCCTCCTTCATTCGGCGTTGCACCTTCTCAACCTGGCATCGCAGTTTTTCAAGGAAATCATCCCTAAGCCTCCTGGCGTTTTTGAGGCGCCGCCATATCTTCTCACTCAGCTTGTATGCGTCTAGAGACTTGTGAGAGGCACTATACTCAAAATCCACTTTGAGTGAAGTACAGTCCTTGATGGTGAGAAGAAGTTCCTCTGCGTCGAGCTTGACTTTGTTGGGTTTGAGCTTTCGCATGATTTCACGGACTTCTTTTATCAGGTCTGGTTGGTCATCCGGAGCAGTTTTGGCACCACGGTTAGCTGCCTGCTCCATCTTTTCCCACTCGCGGGCTTCGCGAATATCTTGGGGGAAGATCCCACTTGAAATCGGGCCATGGCTTACACGGAATCCATTGATTCGGTCGGAAACACTGTTTCTTAGAGCGCGTATGCCATGCTCGCGCTTACCCTTGGTCAGATTTGCAAAGTTGGACAAGTACATCAAGGTTCCTGGGGGCAGGTCGCGTGGCTCAGTTACAATCCCAAGGCGAACGCATCTTGATCCTCTGTTGTAGAGGTGACGACGATGTCTCCATGGTTTCTTACGATGGTAAGGTAGGAGGTTGCCTAAGCACCGCTTAAGCTGCCATTCCCATCTTGTGTTCCAAGCCTTTTGAATTCTCTCGAGAGATTCTTCCCTCTTAATCTAACTGGATCGGACGCAGTCTGGGAATGCTGTACGCTTTCGACCGTTCATACTATTACCGTGCTTGCTGCGATCTGTACGCTCTCCGTACACTCTGGATTTTCCTTTTCCAGTGCGGTTATGTGGAGCGGCACTATTAGTACTAGGAGTATGAACCGTGGTGTTACCTTGAGTGGAGGTAGTGGAAAGCTGCGAAGACTGAGCAGGCAATGCAGCCCCGTTGGCAGTGCTCTCAGCTGATGGAAGTGTGTCTGTACAACTTCCTGTTTCCCCTTCGAGAAGACTGATCTCCCAGTCGTCAGAACCATGATCAGTAGTCTCCATTGCCTTTCTGAACTCCTCATTCAACTCGCGGTCCTCAGAGCCATCATCAGAGCCATCATCGTTTTGCTGATCATCTGTAGCCTCCATAGCCATCGCCTTTTGAAACTCATCATTCAACGCGCGATCAAGGTCCACGTCGCTCAGTTGTTGATCATCAGTGACATCCATAGTAGATTGACCGCCTTCGATCAGACTGTTATTCTTGTCGTCGTCGATGAAAATGCCTGAAATTTTGATAGGGGACATCGGTAGCCATTGCTGAGCTTTTAAGATAAGGGAGCAACAGAAAGGTTTGAAAACAATCGTATGTATTGTATTTAAACAAGACTGGTTGGGACAAAGCCGAAGGTAAGAGAAACTGAACTGTGACAAAGAAGTGTTAAAACGATCGTGCTGTTTGTAGAGATTATTTTTAGTGTTATCACGTATGAAATATCCAGAAAGTATGTGAAATTATCCAAGGCCTTCCTAGAGTAGCATTCGTAATACTCAAGACCAAGCTAGTCTACGGAACGATCCAAGGTGGCATTACACTCTATCCTATATGAACAAAGGCAAGAATTCGGAATGTTCAATCAAACAAAGGGACCAAAAGCAGTCGGAACAGACACGTCAATTGTCTCCATGCAGTCATCAACCATCTCCACATGGTAGCAGCCAAATCAGACGCCACCTACACCAACATTCCCGTCTGATGGCTCGCCAAACTAGTATCTCAGCCCAAAAGTGTGTCTGCTGCGTCCAATGATTCGTTCGTAGGATTCTTCAAGCGCAGATGCAAGAAACTGCAGCTTCCAAAAACAGCAGAACACAGATTGCCGCAAGCCAGAGGCGCGCCGCATGTGAAGTGCACGCTGTCAATGATGTATCCGTCGACTGTCTGATGATTTTCCGTGACTCCAGCTCATTGATAACCACAGCCAACAACCAGTTGACATCCTTCCGTGCATGGTTGGTGCGTCCTGTCAATGATTCTTCCGTCGATTATCAAGTTGCAAAATCCGCATTTCCCCGGACATTTGTGTCCACAAGGAAGAAGCTCGTTGCATTTAGCCGTACAGCTGAAGTAAACGGACGCAGTGTTGGTTCCGCAAGGTGCTGTTACCCAGTGGTTGCAGTACGGCACAAGATAGGTCATCTGTTCTTGACAACAGACAAATTCCTGGTGTTGGTTGAGCCAGCAAGGAAGCATCGGTGGTGGCGTGTGTCCGCATGGCAGGCAGGCGTTGACAACGTCGACGAGCACTAGACATTGCTTCAGGCACGGCCTGTTGCATGGCTGCGTGCAAGGATGAAAACAACCAGGCAGCTTACGCGCACATGGCTGAACGCACTCGACGGTATCGTGAAGTAGCTTGGAATGGCACTTTCCAGTGCACGCATGGCCGCAACTGAGTGGAACGTCGCAGTCCCTCGAACAACCACCTTCTGGAGAGTGTATACGGAAGTCCTCTGGTAGGCGTGCAAGCGAAGAGCCCTCGGGGTGCCGAGGACATAAGAGCTCAAAGGCAGGTCCGATATTTCCTGCCTCACGTAGCATATCAAGGACCTGGGTCCACATTGGGACTTGGCTGAATGTCTTGGAGTTTCCGATAATGTACATGCCGTGTTTGGCACGAGACAAGAGTACATTGATCCGGTTCGTAACTTTCAAGAAACCCGTCCTGTTTTCGATGTTGCTGCGTGACAGAGAGACAATAACAATGTCTGCCTCGTGTCCTTGGAATTCATCCACGCTTGTAAGTCTGACTTCGTCCAGCATATTGTCGTCTTTGCCCGTATCGAAAAACAGATGCTTAATGTTACGCCTGAGGCACTCGACAATAGGCTCGAATTCCTTCTTGGGCTTGCGAACGGTCCTGGCGATGTTAGACAGCTTATGGCCTATTTCCACCTTCTGAGCACCATAAGGCGTGATAATAGCTATCTTCTTATCCATATACGTGCCTTGACGGAGAAGATGGGTGACTAGAGCGACGGCGATATCGGCTTCAAACTCATTTTTCAGCGAATTCCCCGATCCGTCTTCGATTTCAGAAATTTCCTCAAATGATGTGGAGATCTCGTTATGGTCCAGCCAAAAGAGTCTCCGCTTCATCCCACAGACCTCAGGATAGGTGAACACCGGTCCTACATCTTGCAGGGAAGGATACAATGTGGTTCTGATCAACCGCGAGATGGAAGGGTGCATGCGACGTTGGCCTTGTAGAGTCGTGAGTTGCACTTCGGCCTTAGTCGCCAACCTCTCGAACAAGGAGACGTTGAACGCATAATCCTTCCCTTTGGGATGCATGCGATCCATGTTGAAGTTGTTGATATGAGGAAACAACTGTAAGTGATCGCCGATGAGAATGATTTGTTCCAGACTTGGCAGAAAGGTGGTGAGCATGTGTGCCTCCAATGTCGCGCCTGCTTCCTCGCATATCAAAATCTTCGGTCCAACTCTTTCCAAAAGCTTGCGTCTCATACCAAGCCCACTTATGGTCATCCCGATCACTTTCGCCTCGGTCAGAACGTTGTACTGGCATGCTATATCGATGTTCTCCGTGGCATATCCCAACCTCTGGTGAGCTAAGAGCTTCTTCCCCAGAATATCTTTCTGGTCTTCGTCTAGCTCTTGTCCAGGAACTTCGGCATTATAAAGTTTCCTCAGAATCGATCTAATCCCATCCGCATGCTTTGTGCTCTGGACGTACAATTCTGACAATTTGAGCCTGTCGTTGGCACTCTTTGCTACATGGCCAGTTAAGTTAAGCGGCTTCAGAATTTCAGATTCGCTGCGAGAACCAACTCGAATGATGCCATACACTCCAGCATTGTGAAGGGTTTCAAGAAAATGGTCCAATGCCTTGTTCGTTGAAGAGACGCAGAGTATCGGAGATTTGTAGTCTTCAGGGATGTTGTCTAGAAGAATTCGAGCAACTGAAACGCCACAGAAGGTCTTTCCAGTACCAGGAGGCCCTTGAATGAGTGAAAGCTTGTTCTTAATAGAGTTAATTGCTGCATCGGCTTGAGTTTCGTCAAGATAAGTGGCCTCTTTGAAGGCCTTCTCGTCGAATGGCTCGTGTGGCGACATGTAAAAGTTCTTGTTTCGGCGTATTACACTGCGGAGGTTGTAGCGAAAATCTGGGCGCGTGGCATATTCGGGTACGGTGTTTTCTAAACGGCCTGGTTTGTCTGGGTCTCTGGGCGCAAAGAGTGTGTCAAAAGGTATGGTCGGCCACTTACTCATGCCCCTGAATGTCTTGAGCGCGGGCTCAAAAGAATGCACCTTGGTACCCGGGAAATCCAAGATGGTGAACGAAGATTTGGAAGTATCGACGATCCAGTTCTTCATTAGGTTGTCAAAGAGGCTGGAGTACAAACTCGTGGTCAAGCGTACCCTGACGTAGCCGTACTTGGGGTCCGAGAAAAGGTTGCGATGATTGCCGTGAAGTTTTTGAGCGTAAGAACATTCGCAATGCAAAATGTGCTTCTGAGTGTCTTCATCTTCAAAGATGAGGTAGACCAGATTGCCGCCATCAAAGCGTTTCGTGGATTGCCACCAACGCTTACGGTGTCCGACATCGACATCTGTCAGGAAGGAAGGCTGATTAAAGCGCACCTCAAACTCTAGGCCTTTGTGTTCGTTGAGGAGGTACCTGGTAAAGCTGGCATCCGGGTACGAATTGTATCGACCTATGTGTCTCTGCAACTCGCCGTAGTTGAAGTCGCCTTTCTCGCGGAGGTGAAAGAATTCTGCGCGTAGAGCCATCCGCGGGAAATAGAGATTCTCCTCGCGCAGGAGGCGGAACTGCCTGTCGATGAGGCCTTTGATTCCTGGTAAATGCCATGTGTGAGGGTCAAGGAGGGGGAGGTAGGGCTTCTTCTTTGAAAACACATCGGTCACTGTCGGAAAGGTGGTGATGGTGGAGATTTGCTCATGCTTGGGGCTGTTTGGTAGTCAATGTTTCTAAGTATTTGGATGAGGTTCAACTAACTCCGCCGTCGCAGCGGTGCTCTCATCCTGCATCACCACGTCGTTGTCCATGGTGATGATGTGAGAGTGATTGGATGAGGGCTTGAATGAGGTATTTGAACGAGCGTGAATTAAGCCAAAGAGTTCTAACGGGTGCGTTTTACACAAGCGACGGATTCATGGCGGTGGTTGTGACGGGAGGGTGGACGAGACTGTTGGGCGAGATGGTTGAACGAGACGGTTGGACACGATGGTTGAACGAGCGTGGAGAAAGTCAAAGAAGCATGTAGAAAGTCAAAGAAAGTGCTAAAAGGCGCGGATATAAACAGATGACGTAATTGGCTACAAACGCAAGCTCTGGGTCTACGTAAGAACTTATCCATAGGGACCGTCCTTGTTTACTTACATATAGGCATAACTAGATCAAAAGAGTCTGGTCGTAGTAGGGACAATGGACTGTGAGAAATCGGATTGCCATATTGTTTGAATGACAGTATCAAGTGATCTTTTGTAGACTGAATAGTTTGCTAGATACATGTTTGCTTTTAGCAACTTTATATGTGGCTTGGCTTTTCGACTGATATCTAGCAGATAAATCTGAAAACGGGTCACACTTACATTGAACTTTACTCCAAAATAAACATTCCTCATGCCCGCCGAAATAATCACATCACCCGCGCCCTAAATCCTCAAAGCGAAAAGCCATTTGGATCCCGTATGCAGAGCTTGCTGTGTCAATGTCTTCTTGCCATCAATGTCTACGTATTTACCATGTTGCCTGATCCATGAAGAAGCAGGCAAGCAAAGAGTCAAAGCAAGTAGATTTCGCTTCCGTAACGCAATACCATGCATACCCCACTCTATCATCCCTTCAACCGAGCATAACCAGCTCTCTATTTGGCCCTGCCACCACCGATGTCCTGGCCAAGCTACGCATCCGAAAGTCAGCACTTCCATCCTGTCTAGCAACAACCGCGGGGACACGCAACTTACCCTATAACCACTGATCTTCTCCCACTCAATCTTTTGCCTCGTAACCGGCAATTGCCTGCGCAGGTTCTTGAACGCACCCTCGCTCAAGCTACCAAACGCCCTGTTCAAATCCTCCTGATACTTGCGCTCAACCTGCGCAATGGCCTTCGTGACGTCCGCCGCACTCGCGCCCGCTGCCAAGATGTTGGTCGAGATGGGCTTGTCCGTGAGCATGCGCACGTTGCCGTCCTCGTAGTAGTGCACGTCGACCTTGATAAAGCCGGTCAGGCCCGCCGAGGATGGGCTGAAGGTGTACAGCGAGCGCCAGCGCCCGTTCCAGAAGTTGTTGGGCGAGTATTTGTTCGAGGCCAGAACGACAGCAATTTGCGAGTCTGACTCGGTCGGGAACACTCCCAGGGTCGCGGCGGGGTAGTGCTCGCTAACGTGCGCCGAGAGCGATTTCAGGAGAGACTTGACCAGGTCGGCGTGCGCAGATTCGAGGACATACTGCTGGACGTCGGAGGCTTTCTGTGTCGTGTCAGCTTCTACATCTTTGAGGATTTCACAACAGACTATGCCTACCTGGGTGGCGTGGTCGAAAGCAAAGGAGCTGTTGCTCTCAACGTCATAGTAGCGGCCGTCACCCAGCGAGTTGTACGGGCTGACGAGGACCTGATTCCAGTCAGTCTCATGGTTTATCGCCCTATTCCACACACACATACGGAGTCGCTGCCACCGGGAAGTTTCGTCACCGCAAATTGCTCCTCGTTATACTTTTGGAAGGCGGGGTTCAGGGAGTCCAGAGAGCTCTGGCCGGTAATCGACTTGATTGCTGCAAGGATGTCGGGTGTTAGAAACGCGCAAATACGGAGGAGGTTTGCGATCGAGTGTGCTCATACCGGTTGCGACATTGGAGAGCTGTGAAGCTAGTTAGCTAGGCGCTGAAGTGCGGCGGTTTTGACGCTTACCTCTCCTGGGGGAGCAGACTCGATGAAAGACGACAGAGCTGCGTCGTTGGCCATGCTGGATGTGCTGTGGTTGAAGAGAATGGGACAGTGGTTTGGGAGGTGAGGGTCCAGGGATGAGTTGCGTTGTTGTTGTCTTTGGGTGATGCGGGAGATCGCCGTGGGGTTCGGTGGTGTCGCGTTCGCCGACCGCGGGCAAAGGCCCCTCACCGATGACCGATGCTTACCCAAAGCGTTTCTTGTCAAAGTTTTATCAACGCTTCAGAAATAAGAACGAGAATGAGAAAAATGGCATTGTCAATGCTAGAAAAGCCTACTAAACTAATGAAAGCCCGGATATCATGAAGTCCATCAAAGCCATAAAACACCGCGCTGTACGCATCCCCCTTAACGCCTTGCTACCGTTACTATTGAATTCCCAAAGTCCTCCCCATCGGTACGCCTGCTTTGGACCCTTTCGTCCAGCTCACTCAATACTCATCTTCATGAGTCCATCGTTGGTGTCAGTCATGCCTTGCAAGCCGACTCTCTTCGGTCCAAGCGAGGGGGTGACGCTCATCGTGCTGCCGCCGCTGTTTGAACGTTCACCAGCACCATGTCCACTCGGTTGGCCGCTCGTTGAACCTTCCCTGCTCGTCTTGGCGGGGGGCCAAATAGAGTTGTCTCTCTGATTGGGAGACTGGGACAGGACGGGGCTGTTGGTAACACTGAGACCAGGGGACACAGCTCGCCGCTTGATAGAATTAACGTCAAAGTCGTCATCCCTGCGACGCTTCTTCTTGAGACCATCAGCAGCAGTGGGCGGTACCATGGGCTGTGGGGTAGAACCACGAGACGTGGATCGGTCCTTCGGCGGCTCTGCAGACTGCGACAGCCGGTGCGGATACCCAGACATGGAAGTCGTTGACACGCTCGGAGAATCCATGTTGATATCGTCGCTGATGGCTGAAGAGCTCGCTCGCGGGAAGAACGGAGGCGGAGGAGGTGTATGCATCCGGTCATTGGGGACGCCCCACGACTGCCGCTCACCGTTGCTTCTCCACGGCTGCAGGTTGAACGCTCCGAAAAGGCCCTTGCCGTTCGCTGCGGCTTCTCTTTCTACATCCATGCCTGTGTCTTCTGGTATATCTTCGAGCTCGCTCAAGCCAGGTACCGCCGGGAGAAGACTCGGAGACGAGTTGGCGGTGGTCGACTCCTGACGATCTGGCGTCAAGGTGACATCGCTTTCACGAACTTGGCGGATTATTTCGGCTTCTCTCTTGACTTCGCTGTCAACAGGAGCGTTTTCCTCGAAGAGCTCTGCTCTGATGCGACCGAACTGCCTAGATTTTGGCTGCATTTGAGTTAGCAAGCTGCGCGCATGACAAATCGTAATAAATACTGACCAGGAGATTTCCGCGTCGCGTAACCACCCGTCGCACAACGCCTGGAGTTGACGGTGCGGGCATTCCTGACTCGTCTCCGCTGTCATTCCCAGAAGAAATGTGTAGATCGTTTGCGACCATACTCAGGCTCTCTCGTCGCGAACCTGCCTTGCGCATGACGGCTTCGCGCGCAAAGTATCCGCCGTTCGAGCCGTCAAATGCCTTGCTCAACGGTGGCGATCCAGGACCCGGGCTTGCCAGGGAACTGTGTCCGCTCGCGCTGCTTGAACTCTTCCTACTCCTCACTTTGCGCAACCTGTTCCGTTGTATTTGCAGAAAGTTCGGTCCGTTACTCGGAAATCCGCCGGTCCATGGTTGACCGGGGCTGGGCGCAAGTTGTCCACCGAAGGGATTTCCAGCATTCCTGTCCAACTTGAGAACCTGCGGGGTCATCACCATAGGGTCATCGTCATTGTCGGGCTCCATGGGATAATCCTCGTCGGACCCGCTGCTAGAATCGTCCGAACCTAACATGTTTATGCTTCCAAGCGAGCTCGATGGGACGCTCTTATCCCGTAGCCAACGTTCGTGGCTCATGTTGGGCGAATCGAGCGTCATGGACGTGATGTTGGTCTTGCGTTGCGGTATCATCATCCCTTTTTGTGTGATCGTCGGCGATGAATCCGGCGACGGCTGCTCCGCGAGCGTCGAGTGGTGAAGATTTGTGCATGCGCGCGCAAAGTCGAGACCCCGCGAGTGTCTGGGGAGAACGGTCGCGGGTGAGCCGTAGGTGTCGTGAGCGTCGAGCTGAGGGGAAAGCGGAACGCGTTTCGTAAAGGTCGCTGGGTTCTGTAGGCTTAGATCCCGCGGCGGCATCTGCAACGAGAGGCCCCGGGAAAGGAAATCGGGTCTTCTGGGAGTTCTGGGATTGATTGTAGCATCGTCTTTGGACTCTCTCATGGAGACAATCTTTGGTGATGGCGACAGCCTCGGTGTCGAGTCGGACAGCGACCGACTCTTGGAAGGCGACGACGAGGGCGTTCTTTCGTCGCGGAAGGCGGAACCCAACTCGCCCTCCCGTGATTCCAAATTCGCATTGCTGCTGGCGCTTCCAAAGGACTTGGCAAGCATTGCCTGCACCGATGGTTGTCTGGGCCGGTTCATGGCGTTCATATTCGTGGACGAGATGCCGTCGCTGTCCATTGTCGCAATTTTTGGTTATGTAGGCACGATGCACCTTCTGTTGCTTGCATCAATGTACATTGTCGCATGTTAGAAACCGGGAACGGTTGGCAGTGCGGAGTAGAGGAGCTTGGAGCGTTGACGTGGGATCGCCTTGCACGTGATGGGTGCCGTGGTACAAGAGTGCCAATGAGCTCAACGCAATCGCAGCATCTCAAGCCGGTTTGACGGAATCTTATCAGCATGAGTGTTTAGCGCCGTCATCAAGCGATAACATTTATACGGAGTGGAAAATTATACGGAGTGGAAACAAAAGCCGGTCAGGATATTTGTAAATGTGAGTTCCAAAACATTCTCACTGATCACGACTTAGACATGTAGGTAGACAATAAGTTTTCTATAGTAAATGATTGTATCATTCTCTATTTCGTTAAACGGTGATAGACGTTACTACATAAAGTCCCTTCTTTAGCATCTTCTGTTCCTGAGCGTGATCTCTTGCCGCCGATATCCCTGCAAGTAAGTTCCGAAAATAGACAGACCATCGATATAAAGCCCATAGTGAAACTCATGATCTCATGATAGCATCAGCCTGGCCTGCAACTCCCCACATAGTTATTACCTGATTTAAATGATGTTTGTAAAGAAGGTGCGCCAGTTAGCAAAAGAATGCTCAAAGCCATTGGAAATTGTTTCTGGCTGATAGCTGTCTTTTATGATCCCGAAAACATACTCAACGTCGTCCATGGTGGCTTCCCAGATGTTGAATACGGTTAGTTTCCACATGTTGTCCTCTTTTTTCATCTGTCCCATGCAGCGACACATCCGCGGAGAATCGGATGGCTCCAGAAACTTGCTGCTATCCCGGTCCCAAAGTTCGACACCTTTCCAGTTTTGTTGAATGCCGGAAAGATATGGCTGATGGTCGTGAAAGAGGTCCACGAAGACAAAATGCTGCTTCACACCTCGCGGTTCTCTGTATGATGAGCGAACTCTAGCATATAGCTCAATGAACACTTGTACACCTTCCCGTATGGCTCGACTGCCGACGTTGATTGCTTCTCCTACTCGAAAGCAAGTACGCATGGAGAGCGCTGAAGAGAGCCCAACTATGGGCGAACGATCTGGAACCAGCTTGGGGAATGGAGGTCTCACGAGAGGCTTAACGACGAGGGGAGACTTGGCAGGTCCTGAACTTGGTTTTGGCATTGAAATTTCTCCAGATAAGCCACGACTTTGAATACTTTCCGTCGTGCTTGCTTCGACCGGCTCTTTGAACTCTGGCAGTGCATCGATATCTTCAATTGTAAACCATTCGTCTTCAAACGTTTCGGAGTCGGTTGTTTGGGGAGCGTCGGTCATCACGTCATCCACAGGATCACTGGGTATTGTGTAGGTTGACCTGATATGGTTGTGCGAGACATGACTGTTCAACTGAGGATGTCCATTGTAGACTGTTGTACCCAGATTAGTGCCTGCTGCAATACGGTCCATAGAAGTGACAGGAGCAAGCACTGATAGCTGAACGGAGTTAGTCCTCGTGAGGCCACTGTCGTGAGTAGTTGAGTCGCCTTCAACCTTTGTAAGTTCAGGTTCCGTGGTAACACTTGAGTCGGATCGAGCCTTCGCAGTCAGCTCTACAGCGGCGGTATCGGTCACCTCTTGGGCTGCCTGCTTTTCTTTCGGTCCTGATGGATTGGCTTTTGGGCGCGTACTGGGACCGGTCTTCGCTTGAGCCGCATTGGTCTTCGAACGCGTGCCGATTTTCGTTTTTCGTCGCTTGTTGCTAGTCAACTCTTCACCATTTGAGATAGCTGCGCGTTCGAACATGGAGCTGTGGCTACCCGCCCGACGAGGCCTAAGATACTCTTGAACCAAGGGGTTCCTCTTAGAACGGTTGGCGTGAGCAGCTTCAGCATCGTCATTTTGGGCTGAATTTTCTGCGTCTGGCTGGGGGGACTGGAACGACGGCTCCTTTGCTATGAAGCCTTCAGGTCTGTTGACCGGCGTGAAGCCAGTAGCGCCGGACGGTCGGCTGCAGGAAGTTAGCAGAAGAGAAACGCGAAAAGCTCAAGCGTAGGTAGACATGTACTCCATATCAGGTTTGACCCTTGCCACTCGGCATGTGAAACAGCGCGGCGGTAGCACTCATGCAGCGACTGGGATGCAGCGGTCGAGTGAGACAGGTGCGGGGTGGAGCGGCACGGGTGATGGCGGGCAGCCGGCGGGCAGTTGCCGGAAATTGGGATCGCTATCGATACCTAGCGCGCCAGCCCGGTGGGGCAAGAATAGCTTTGGGTTATGGCAGGTGACTGCAGCCCGAACTTCAACACCACGATTTGTCGTCATTACTTTCTGGCCTTTTCTCCGACCTCAAACCCATGTGCATGTTGCTCTCTGCAGGTCTCAGTACCGTACGCCTTCTTTGAACACCCGTGCCTCGCATCGCAGGCAGCCGCAGCAGGTACCAGTAGCCGGCAACACGCAACTGCAAGCTTGTAAGGCGCCATTCACCGCCTTTCTCTTAAGCAGTAGTCGACTGACATCGTATGCTAAGCAGATCTTTCTTTCGGCAGGTCATCAACGAGAATCTGAAAGAAGCCAGAATTCGCCATGTTCAGCAGCTCTGTAAGTCCAAGGCCGATCAGTTTCTTACATTGCTTTGCTTCACGTTGGCAAGCCTTTTCTCGGAGGCTTCAAATGCTTTGATACAGTCAAACCTGGTTACAACGCTTGAGCTACTCGGTGAATTCCGACCCAAAAAGACGTTCAGCGGTATAAGCAGCTACGTTTTGCGTAGCCTTTCGCATACCATTGCCGTTCTAACGAGGGAACGTCGTAAACAGCCAAGGCTAGTCTAACAATCGGCAGCTACTGACCAGCCAAGTTGTTGTAACCAGGTTTGACTATTCCCTATTTCGTTTGGAATCCCGGACCACCATGATAGTCTCCTGCAAGCAAGAATTTATTTGTGTTTGCCTTGATCGATGTGACAGCACGCTTCTTGCTTCCTGACCGTCGTCCGCTTTTCGTGCAAAAGGCTGACTGCCCGCCTGCCAAACAGAGGAAGCCATATTCGGCCGTCACGGTCCAGATTGATCGCCTCACAAGCGAACAGTACGAGGAAAATGATCTGGGTGGGATTGTCGACCTCATCGAAGTGATCCGAATCCAGGACTCTGGGCCTCAGGAAGCCGCCCGGGCTATTCGGAAGAAGCTGTGAGTCTGCAAGACTGACCTATATTCGACATGAGACTCAAGCGATCTCTAGAAAGTACGGCAACATTCATCGTCAACTACGTGCTTTGACTATTCTGGACGGGTTGATCCAGAATGCCGGTATTCGCTTCCAGCGCGCGTTCGCAGATGAACCCCTTCTCGAGCGCCTGCGTCTCCTTGCTCGCGATGAGATGGTAGAGCAGGAGGTCAAAGCAAAATGCAACGTCCTCTTCCGGCAATGGGCTGTAGCGTACAAAGGCAAGCCTGGTTTAGAGGGAATTGCCCAGCTATACAAGCAACTTCCGCAAACTAAGAGGCCCCAGCCTCACCAATCAAAGGTCCTGAAGGAAACCGAGGCCGAGGCGGAGCGCGAGACGCCATCCTCACCCGTTACACCTGTTACACCAGTCTCGCCTACAGGAACAAGGGGATCGCGGAGCGGGTCCGCCGCTGCCGGCTCATCTCGTCCGCTAAGCCTTTCGTCTGCTGGCCCCTTGTCCAGCGGGTCTTCCCTATTTGGTTCCAAGGACAAGGACAAGAAGCACAAGCGATCCAAATCCCAGCCTTTCAACCTCGAGAAAGAAAAGCCACAGTTACTGGAGGCCATTGCTTCAGCTTCTGTTGCTAGTAACAATCTTCTGAACGCACTCCAGCTCATCAACCGCGAGCAGCAGCAGGTATCAGAGAACTCAGAGGTTGTAAAGCGCTTCGAGACATGCAAGAAGCTCCGCCGCCAAATCCTGCGCTACATCCAGCTGGTGGAGTCGGAGCAATGGATCGGAAGTCTCCTCAGCGCCAACGACGAGCTGGTCAAGGCGCTCATGTCGTATGAAATTATGGACAAGTCCATCGACGATGACAGCGACTCGGACCCGGAGTACACCGGCCATCCAGTGATGACCCCTGTGAGGTCTCCCACCGCAGAGGATCAATTGGCGGGATTGAATCTCGGCGACAGCCCACCACCGCAACCGCCGAGGCCTGGTGGTATGGGAGCCGGGAAGCAAAAGGCGCAGGAAAGCGAGAGCGAACCAGAAGAGGAAGAAGAAGATGAAGACAACCCCTTTGCGGACAGGAATGCTGTGAAAGTGGACCACGATGGAATGACATGGTGAGTTAACAATGCAGTGTTGGTGAGCAAGCAAGACCTGACAATTTCACAGGAGGGATATTTAGCTGCTTTGTGCTTGGATGATTGACGGTTACGATTATTGTTTTTGATGTAGTTGATATCAAAAAAAAAAGAATGCACGTAACGGTGTAATGGCGATGAATACCCGGGGGATTCAACATATTCGATACTCATTGCCATTCTGCGCTCGAACGCCTTTTCGCATTTCTTTTCCAACACACTTGACAACATGACCAAAGTTTAATGTTGGTCGGATTGCACAAGAGGCGGGGAGGCGTGTCGGCCGTCTAAGCCCCACACCAACCCGGAAACGCTGCGTCATCACCCGCCGCGCCACGCAGCACCGCCTCCTCGGTCGTGCATCACCGAAGCCTGGAACCACCAACCCATAGCTATAACATCGCCCCAGCCCCTTCATTTACCTGACGACCTCACAATTCACGATCCCTCTCCTTGACGCCCTTGGTCAATCCTACATATATCTCGCGCAGCCCTCTCTCCATCGCTCAAGTCCAACCAACGCGCGCGACACAGACCACACCTCACAACGTAAGCGCCCGTCCCACCGCCTCACCTCCGCCCACACCACATCTCTGCCTTTTGCTTCCAAACGCACGCGCTAACAGATGCAACAGCAGACAACACTTTCGCTCTTCTTCAATCTACCTTCAATCGAGACCTTCTACACCGCCACAATGCCCGGCTCCACGACCTCCAGCACCTCCATCATCAAGCCCAAGCCCATCAAGACGGGCTGCCTCAGCTGCCCATGCGGCGACGACGGGGAGTGCACATGCTGCTTCCTGCCTTGCACTGTCATGTAACCGAAGATCGAATCTCATGGGCGGGAACGGAGACCTGTTGCTGGAACAGCGGTGCCGAGCGCCTCATGACTGATTGAGGATGAATGGACCGACACACTTTTTTGGTTTGGGGAGTTTTGGGCGTTGACCATTACGGGGGTTGGCACAGTGGCAGATTCAGCTCTGTTCCTGCTACTGCGGGATGCGCACAGTGTGCTTAAACTGGCTTTCCTACTACGACTTAACGGACGAGCGTTGCGAGCAAGCGAGCAAGCAGGCAAGAATGGCAGGGCTGCAGTTTCAGATTCGGAGTCAGATTCAGATACCACGGCCGCGATAGCGAATTTCATACATGCTCTTTTAAAACTCTAAATTATATCCAGACAATTGTTTGTATCGTCCCGTAAATGCCAACCAAGCATACGTGTACGTCTCCTCACACTTTGCGATGTAACCTCCTATGAGCTTCACCGACGAGATAGAGAAGGATATAAGCAGTCTCCGTGGAATACTTCCTGTCTACTTACAAGCCAGAGCCCTGGACTTGAGGGAGAAGGTCTAGCACACACATACTATGATAACTTAACTGGTGCTGTCGTGTTCGTGTCCAAGGAATAGCGGCGCCGACCGCCAAAGTCACCGCCTGCTTGTGATCTTATCGCCGACGAATCAACATCGGCCCTACAGCACCTCCGCAAAAAAGTTGACCTCACCACCGCCTTTCAACCCTTAATTCACACTGCCTCGATACCCTATAGCGCTCCCTCGATACCCCGGACGACAAAAACACTACGTCCACCTAGCATAGCCCGCGGCAATCAGAACAGAAACTCCACGTCCCATCACCACCATGATTGTAAAAGATTTGCTCTCTCCGCTTCCTCCGCCTCTTCGCTAACCACCACTCTCGCAGCGCCGACAAGCCCGCCAGCGCCGTGACTACCTCTACCGGCGCGCACTGACACTGCGCGATGCAGAAATTGCCTCCAAGCGCGCGGCGCTACGAGCGTCGCTCGCCAGCGGAAAGCCGCTGGACCCCAACATCGCAAACGACAAGGCACTGCGCGCGGACTACAAGTACGACGAGTCGACGGACGACCGAACGACGGCGGAAGCGCTGGAGCTGGACGACGAGTACGCGCAGCTGAGCGGGGTGGTAGATCCGCGGGTGCTAGTGACGACGTCGCGCGACCCGAGCACGCGACTGGGGGCATTCGCGAAGGAGATCCGACTATTGCTGCCGACGAGCGTGCGCGTCAACCGCGGAAACCTCATCCTGCCGAACATCGTGGGGAGCGCGAAGGCGGCGGGGCTGAGCGACGTGGTGCTGCTGCACGAACACCGCGGCACGCCCACGGCGCTGACGGTCTCGCACTTCCCGCATGGCCCGACCGCCTCCTTCTCCCTGCACAACGTCGTCCTGCGCCACGACATCCCGAACGCCGCGCGCGGCACCGTCTCTGAGAGCTATCCGCACCTAATCTTCGAGGGCTTCTCGTCCCCGCTCGGCAAGCGCGTCGTCAAGATCCTGAAGCACTTGTTTCCGCCGCGTGCCAGCGCCGCCATCACCAGCAAGGACGTTGGCAGCCGCGTCGTCACGTTTGTGAACCGCGAGGATAGCATCGAGGTCCGCCATCATGTGTTTGTGCAGACGGGGTACCAGAGCGTCGAGCTCGCCGAGGTCGGGCCCCGTATGACGATGCGTCTGTTTGAGATTAGGGGCGGCACGCTCGAGAATAAGGACGGCGATGTCGAGTGGCATATGAACCAGTACACGCGCACGGCTAAGAAGAAGGACTACCTGTGAGGAGCGCAAGGGCATGGTGGGTAGGAAGCGCGTAAGAGCGGGATATGCGACTCGGCGGCTGGACGAAGCCGCGTGCAGTGGAGTTTCAAAAGTTCTTATGGGGGTTTCGGCGTCTGGGCGGCGTCCTGCGAAAGAAGGTGGCTCTTGTTGTACATTGTCAAGTTGTACGCGGCAACGTACTCCTACTCGCGGCGAGGCATTCCTCAAAATCCACTTGAGGCTGTAAAAGGAACGGCATCCGAAGCCATGGGATCAACCGCCCTGGTCTTCGAACCCAGCGGCGCAGAACCAGGAACTGGCCGACGCCGCGACCAGATCAGCATTTTCGGCAATTGGGCGGCGGGTACGGGGCGGGCCAAGCGGAAGCAGGGCTGCATCCACGGAGTAACTAGATCTACCTAGAAAAGTACAAGTGCAAGCGCTATAAAGAATTATTTTCTGTAGTCAATACCACACATTGCAAGCACAGCCAAAGCATATTCCTGTCCGTCATCTCAATCCAGGGTGTTCTTTCGCAAATGGTCATAGAAATAAATTAGATAGAAAATGTCGAGACTTGCGTGCTGATACTGGCTGGATATAAGTGGAGCAAGGCTTGTGGATTGATGGGGTGATGGACAAAGGGTTTGTGGTGTTTTTGTAGGGATGTGCGTGTTTCTGCTGCGAGATTGTCGGGAGAGGCATGGGTTGGTTGCGGTGGATTTAATAAGCTCTTTTGCCGGTCTTGTGGTGTTTGGTGACTCTTGAATTAACTTTAATGTGACTTGACCGTCTATGTCGATATCTTCTTATATTAGGCAGACAAAAGAGGACGAACCTCGCAAGAAAGAGCAGTATAATCTCTAGTGTATATGAGGATGTATAGGTATATTCATGATTTAAAAGGCTATTGAGTAAATATAATTAAGGCCTTCGCTAATTCGTATACAGCGTACATATTCATCTTTTTCGCTTTAGATCTATCTCTTAGTTTTTTGTTTACGGCGAATATGCTTTTTGAGATTTAAAGACTTGTTAATAGGTAGCTTTGGAGCGTCTTCCATATATACAACTTTCTGCTTTTTTTAGCTGTTACGCACACCACACCCACCTTCCGTAGATACAATGACAGCTTTTATACATCCCAACACACACCCACGTATAAACACACCTACGCACCCATTACACCCTTCCCCCCCCCCTCTCCCCACACCCAGCACCCCACCCTCCGCACCCCCTACTCCTCCTCCACCACAGCACCAGCAGCCCCCCGTTTCCGATGCACCAAGCCCGGCGCGCCCTCCCCACCCGCCACGGCCGCGCCCTCCCTTCCACTCCCCCGCAAAACCTCCTCTTCTTCTTCCCCGCTCGCACCACCTCCCCACCGCCCATCCCGCTCCCTTTCCCCGTCCCACTCCTCCAGCCGCTCTAAATGGCTGCCCAAGCCCGCGCCTAAGCCTCCATGGCCATGCCCATGCGCACCACCATGCCCCAGCCCACCCACCCCCAAAAACCCCCCCGCATCCTCATCAACATCCACACTCCCCCGCCTGCTCCCAACCCGACTCCCCACCCTACTAGCCACCCTACTAGCAGCCACACTAGCCGGACAGCTCTCGCTCTGCTCCCGATCGCCCAAGATCTCGATGCCCCATCCTCTTGCAGCCTTCTTGACGCTCGCGGCCACGGCCGACAGCTGCGGCATGTGGCTGTCGACGGCCTGGAACACGTGCGCGCCGTGCTGCGGGCCGAGGGCTGCTTGGAGCTCGCCGACTGACGCGGTCTTGAGGTCGAGTCCGTTGAGGCAGCGGTACTGGGATGCGAGGGTGCGGGCGGCGGGGTGCGTGAGGGAGGCGGGGGATGTGGGGGACGTGAGGACTGTGAGGGGCGTGTGTTAGTTGGGTTGGGGCTGGGTTTGGGGTGGGGAATGGCATGGGTGTGGGGAAGGGGAGTTTGGGATGGGGTTGGGTGGGTTTGCGGGTTTGTGGGGATGGGTTTATGCGAGGGCAGACTTGCCGCTGACAATGTACCGCTGCACCTCGTCTGGCCCGTCGTCGTCGGCAGGCAGGTAGCGCGGGAAGATATTGTCGGCGTCGGCGTCGTCGGCGTGGACGTGGATGTTGGCGTGGGCGTGGGTGTCGGGGTCGCTGGAGGGGGGCGGGGCGGCGGCCATGGTTGCGCGCGCGTAGGTGTAGATGTGTTGGTTGGTCGGATGTATGTGCGTGTGTGTGTATGCGTATGTGGAAGAGGAAAGCGACGGAGAGAGAGAGAGAGAGAGAGAGCAGGCGCGGGCGAAATGTCGCAGGCTAACAGCGGAAGCAGCGGAGCTGTGGCGGGGGATGGACGGAGGGAGAGAGGGTCCTGAGGTGCTACTGTCCTCGCTACGTAGCTAGTGCTCCCCCACTGCTCTGCCTTTGCAGCTACTCCTACACCTAAGACGACGACCCGGGAGGCGCCGGCAACGACCGCGCGGCACGGTATACTAGCAGCAGGTGCAGCAGCAGCGAGGGGAAAAGCAGCAATAAGAGAAGAGAAGTAGACTCTGAATTGTAGCAGCGCAAAAGGAAAAAAGAAAAGAAAAAGAACAAGAAAAGCCGAATTGGGTACATAGGAGTAGAGCCTCCTAAGCCACCAATCCAACCCAGCACCCCCTTCGACCACTACGACGCCGCCGAGCGACCGCTTCCGCGCCTTCCTTCCTCCTGCTTCTAGAGTACCATAGGTAAATCAACGCGCTGCCCCCTTCGTTGCTGGAGCATGGCGGCGCGGGCGCTAGGCCTCTAGCACGCGAGTAGAGTACTCTACTCTACTCCTAGGTAGCGGCGACCGCCGGTGCTGGTGCTGGTGCCGGTGCCGGCCGGGCGCATCAGTCATCGGGGCAGCGAGCGACAGCGACGGCGACAGCGGCAGAAGCAGCAAAAGCAGCACCAACGACAGGCTGCGGAGCCGTCGTTCGTGTCGTGCCAGGACTACTCACTCACTACTCAAGGAGCAGGGACAGGGGCTGGGGCTGGGAGCATCGCCGTATCGTACATACATACACTCCGTACACCTACCTAGTGTCAAGCGTCAAGCATCGTGTCGAGCATCAACGCCTTCCTTCCGCGCGCGATGGTTGGGCGAGAAGCTCGTTAGTTGTTGCTCGTTGCTCCCGTCCGTGACTCGGCCTGCGTTGGCGTTGCAAGCTCAACCCCCGTCCGTCGAGATAAGCGAGCCCTCCCTATGTACTGTACTCTACCTGCTGCTGTCGATCTGCTCTAGGCGTGCCGTGCGTGCTTCCGATCGTCATCGATCACGATCATGATCACGATCACGATCTCCGTCGACGAGAGCTGCTGTGCTGGGCTGGGCTGGCGACAGCGACGGCGTGCGCGTTGTGACGGATGGATGAAAGGAAGGGGAGGGATGATCGAGGGAGCAAGCGCGCAGCTGCTGTGGGAGATGAGATGAGATGATGCGGAGGGAGATGAGGGGTGATGGCGGCTGGCTTGAAGATGCCACGGTTCGTAGATAGATAGGTAGGGTACGTAGGTAGGTACATAAGGTAGGTAATTGCTTGCTTGCTTGCTTGCTTGCTGCACGCACTGCACGCACTGCACAGTCGAGCACACGACAGCACACAACAGCAGCAGCAGCAAGATTCTGCCCTGCCTTGTCCTGTCCTTCTCTGCCCTGCCCTGCCTGCCCTGTCCTGTCCTCTCTCCAGGCTCCCTCCACGCACACCCGTTTCAAACCCAGCCTCATGTCTCAGCCCGCACCCAGCACTAGAGACACGCGCGGGCGGTAGGTCGGCGCGTTTCTGCGCAAGCCGCCCGAAGAATTCCCTCCCGCAGCTGTTAGGCAGGCCAGGCGCGCGCGTGCGTGTCTGATGTCTGATGGTGCATAGTTAGGTGGTGAGGCGAGTGAGATGTGATGAGATGAGGCGAGATGAGGCAAGATGAGATGAGGTTGGGTTGGGTTGGGTTTAAGTGGGGTGGGTGAGCCACGGTTCGAGAGGATGTATATGTGTGTGTGTATATATGTAGGTAAGGCAAGGTACATACGGAATAAGGCGAGGCAAGGCAAGGCCCGGCCCGCGACGTTGACGCTGGTGCTGACGCTGTGTTGCTGGTGCTGGCGGCGCTGGTGGTGATAGTGGTAGAACTACGTACCTACGCATGTATATGCGTGTCATAAACAGTCTACTCCTACCTAATATCCACGAAACCTGCCTAGGCACGCTACAAACACCTAGAGCACCTATCTTCGCACACGCACGCATGCATACATACACATATACAGGTAATCCGTAGGGCGTCAACGCTGGCGCCGGCACCGGCGCAGACACAGACGCAGACGCAGACGCAGGCACTGGTGCAGCCCTTTCCTTTCCTTTCTTTTTCCTTCTTCCCCTCTTCCCTGGTGGTAGTGCCGACTAGACCACCTGCCAGCCTGCCAGCCTAACTACCTAGTTACCTACTGCTCGTACGAACCAGAACCAGGCGCACGCACGCACGCACGCACGCACGCACGGGTTCAGCCAGGACAGGCCAGGGCAAGGCAGGCCAGGGACAAGCGCCGGCGCGCGCGCGACGAGACCCTGGCCTGCCCTGGCGTGCCCTGGCGTGGGTGTGCGGGGAAAGGGACTGCCTACTGCCATGCGTTGGCGCTGTGGCGGCTGCGCGCGTGCTTTTGGCCTGCGCGAGCAGCGTCAGCGGCGGCGGTGCGCCTGAGGCTGTTGGCTGGACTGGGCTCTGCCTGGGCTTGGGCGGGCTTGGTTGGTTGGTGTTGGGGTGTACGGTACGGTAGGGACTAATGGTGCTAACGGCTGTTTTTGCCGGGTGCGTGGGATTTCATTGTTGTGGTGATGGCGAGATTTCTACTTGTGTGTGTGTGTGCTAGAAGACTTTTTTATTTACTCATGTCTACTAGTTAGTAGGACTTGGGCTTGTATTCTAGCTGGGCACGCTGGGCAAAGACGATTCCCTGTCTCGCTAGATGGCGAAGCGCGCTTGCGGACGTTGGGTGGCTTGCTGGACCCCGCGGGGAGGAGGAGACACGCTGTTGGATCGTGGATGGATGGGATCGTCGACGATCTGTCCCGGGCTTAGGGTAGATAGGGCTGGGCAGGGCTGAGGATTCTCGACAGGTTTCTTCCTTTCATTAGGTATCATCAGACACATGATCAGGTCTTCGGCACGGGAAGGGAAGAGAAGCACGGGAAGGGAAAAGAAGCACCGGGACATAGCACGACAAGTGACGTGCGTGGGGGCGGGGTGGAGAGAAAGCAATCAAGCCTAGGTAGGGTTCCAGCCAGCACGCAAGACGGGCAGTGGCAGTTTAAAAGAAATAAGAAAAAAAGAAAAGAAAAAAAAAAAAACGCAAAGCCCAATGGCCAGGCCCGAGCATTCCAACAGCTTCATCTCGCTTATGTAGGGTATGCGACTGGAAGCGGGCAAGGGACGGCAGATCACGGGCGTGGGCCGAGGGTGGTGTGCGCGGCCCTTCAACAAGAGGCTCTGGGTTAGCATGGCACGTGTCGTGAACCTTGCCGCCGTTTCGAGAGATTAGGGATCGGCGTCTGAAACGCCAGGCTGGGCGCTCGCACAACGGGCGGGGAGGGGGGCGCGCTGGGGGGGGAAGCTACTTCGTAACCTTTTGGAGGCGAGATTGAGGGCCAGACGAGAGAGAGAAGGGCGGACCGATACTCTCAACTCTCTTTCTTTGGCCCAGCCCCTGCGGGCTCCGTGCACAGTAGTAAGGGCCGTCCTCTCGCTCTCGCGCCCTTCTCGCCGCTCTCTGCACACTCTAACTACTCTCCACGTTGCTGTTTGCTGTTGCTGTTGCTGTTGCTGCTGCTGCTGCTGCACCCTCGCCAATCCGCCCTGCTGCAGGTTCTGAGTAACGGTGGGAAACGTCAGCACCCCCATTGAAAGGAAAAAGGGAAAAAGGGAAAAGCCGGCCGGCCCGTCATGGAGCACCCATCTGCTGAGGGCCAGCAGCTCCAGCACACCAACACCACGCGCGAGCACCGCAGGCTGACCAAGAGGGGCCCGCCGCCCGTCTCCTACAATCCCAATCCCGCCGCCCGCTCCCTGCGCAGAGCCCCCTCGGCTCCCACCTACCCTCACACCCTCAAGCAGCTCGGCCACCATCACCGCCGCAGTCCCACGGCCGAGTTCCTGTCGGCCTCCAACTCGTCGCTCGACCACCAACAACACCCGCCCGCCCTCCGCCGCTCGTTTACCGACAAGGCCAACGACGACCTCATTGGGTCGCCGTTTGACGCCCAGGGTCTCTGCCAAAACATCAACGAGATCCAGTCCTCGCCCACCAAACATCAACAACAACAACAACGCCCCCCGCCGCCCCAGCATTCGCGCACCGCGGATGCCCGCCTGTTCACTCCGCGTCTGAGACAGTCTGCGAGCTTTGGCGCCCTCGGCAGGAAGATGGAGACGATAACCACGCCCTCGGCCGCCTCGGATCGCGACAACAAACGCTTCTCGGGCGAGGTCAAGCCCTCCAAGCTCTCCCGCCCCGACACCCTGAAGAAGACCAAGACGGGCTTCACCAATTTTGTCAGCGGCCTGGTCGGTTCGCCGCGTCGCCCGACCATCTCGACGCCCACCAATCCGCTCCACGTCACCCACGTGTCGATTGACAATGACACGGGCGAGTTCACGGTAAGTCCAAAATGCCTTCGTCGGTCGCATCCCGCCGTCCCGCCAGCTAGCCCGGCCCGGTCCCACGTCCCAACTGACATTTCTTTCCTAGGGCCTGCCCCGCGAATGGCAGCAGATCCTCAAGGCCAACGGCATCGACGAGCAGGAGCAGAAGAAGAACCCCGAGGTCCTCACCGACGTCGTCGCATTCTACCAGGAAAACACGTCGAGTCGCTCCGACGACCACATCTGGGACAAGATCGGTCACGCTCAGCCTAGCAACTATGTGACGACTCCAGGCCACTCGGCCGGCGGGGGAACGCCGCTGTTGAGCCCGCCCGTCAGCCCGCGTTTCCCTCGTAGCACTGAGGACTCGTTCGAGAACCCTCGGGCGCCGCCTCCGGTCCCTCGCGGCGGCGCCGGCGCCTCGCCCGTCACCTCGCCCTCGTCGAGCAGCAGCAACGGCATGGTCCCACACCGTCCCGCGCCCCGCCCTCCGCAGGCGCAATCCAACGTCGTACCGATGCGCCCCGCCCCGCCCGCGCCTGGCGTCGAGCGCATCCCCGAGGACCTCCCTGCCACCACCTACACTCCTCCTGCCACCGACGCAGCAGCAGGCCACCGCAGCCGCGCCAACACCAACGACGCCGCCGCCGGCCCCGCTCACCACGGCGCCCCGGCCACCGGCACCGTCCAGCAGTACCAGGACCAGCAGCAGCAGGCCATGCTCGCCGCGCAGCAGTCCATCGCTCGCCAGCAACAGCAGCAGCTGGAACGCTCGCGCAGCCAGCGCCACTACCAGCAACACCCGTATCAGTCGGCGCAACCCCCGCAGCCGCAGTTTGCGCATGCCGATCCGCACAACGTCCCTATGCCTCAGCAGCCGGCACGCGTTGGCCCTGCGCCGCCTGGTGGTCGGCCTCGCCAGCGCCCGCGCGAGAGCGCGCAGGGCAGCAACATCATCGAGCGCCTCAACGCGATCTGCAATCCTTCTGATCCCACCAAGATGTACCGCAATTTCAACAAGATCGGTCAGGGTGCTTCGGGCGGTGTCTTCACCGCTTACCAGATGGGCACGAACCGCTGCGTCGCCATCAAGCAGATGAACCTCGACCAGCAGCCCAAGAAGGACCTGATCATCAACGAGATTCTCGTCATGCGCGAGTCGAAGCATCGCAACATTGTCAACTTTATCGATTCCTTCCTCGTCAAGGCCGACCTCTGGGTCGTCATGGAGTACATGGAGGGCGGTTCGCTGACCGACGTTGTGACGTTCAACATCATGAGCGAGGGCCAGATTGCTGCCGTTTCGCGCGAGGTGCTGTGCGGTCTGCAGCACCTACACTCCAAGGGCGTCATCCACCGTGACATCAAGTCGGACAACATTCTGCTCTCCATGGAGGGTAACATCAAGCTGAGTAAGTGCTGCGCCCCCTTCCCTTCACCGGTTTAGTACCTGACCACGCGTAGCCGATTTCGGTTTCTGCGCCCAGATCAACGAGTCTGAGCGCAAGCGCACGACCATGGTTGGCACGCCCTACTGGATGGCCCCCGAGGTCGTCACCCGCAAGGAGTACGGCCGGAAGGTTGACATCTGGTCATTGGGCATCATGGCCATCGAAATGATCGAGGGCGAGCCTCCGTACCTGAACGAGTCGCCTCTCCGCGCGCTTTGGCTCATCGCGACCAATGGCACGCCAACGATCAAGGAAGAGCACAACTTGACGGCCATCTTCAAGGACTTCCTTGGCTTCGCGCTCAAGGTCGACCCCGACAAGCGCGCGAGCGCCCATGACCTGTTGACTGTAAGGACGACTCCTTTCACATTGCGCGCCAGTACTGACCAAATCGCAGCACCCGTTCATCCAAACCGCTGAGCCGCTGGCCACTCTGGCGCCGCTTGTCAAGGCTGCACGTCAGGCGCGTGCCGAGGAGCGCAAGAAGAAAGGTGGTGCTTAGTGCTCCATATCCCTTTTTGAGAAACAGCTGATCTACCGCCGCTTTAGTCGAAGCGAGTTTTTTCAAGTGGTATTATTTTATATGAAAAATGTGGCTCTACGACCGGCGCGAACGATGCGAGGGCGAAACAAGGCAGCAGAACGGAACGCCAAGAGGTGCTACCGAGTGCTTCATCAGACCGAGCTGCCGTGCTCTCGCGCCGCAACCCGTACGCTGGAGCCTGCGACCCCGACCTCATCTCAGCATTTGCATCGGAATCTCCGTTCAGATACCCAATCACTGCGAAGCTTTGGCAGCATAGCTAAGTCAATTTGACTCGCACAACATTCCGGAGCGTTTTCGGCTGTAGCCAGTTCAATATACACTGGTGTTGGATGCTTGCCGACATGAAACGACGCATGGGATTCGATCGACTGTCTGGCTATCTCTCCGTTTCCCTTGAGCTTTTCCCCCGCGCCCCCCTTTTGACTTGCGTTGTTGCGTTTTTTTTTTCACGAAAGATATCCTGGCTCACGCTGTTCGAGCGAGCCACGGCGAGGCATGCGTGGCGTTTTACTTCATGAGCACAAACTTGCTTTCGTCGACACACTCCGGGCTAGGGATAGCGGTTTCAGAGAGAGAGAGAGAGAGAGAGAGAGAGAAAGAGAGAGCGGAGACGAGCCATGGGGGCGGTTCGGCAGTTTCTCCCTGATTTTTTTTGGTTTAGTGTTTCACTCTGAAGGCCCCGTCTTTTTTTTTTTCCCCCTTCGATCCCCTTTTTCCCTTTAGACTGTAGCGTTCGGCCGAACAAAGGGGGACTGACTGCGACGGGCTCGCTGGTCGAGGGCCTGTGGGGGGAGGGGGAGGGTGGGATAAGGGAAAATGGTTCATGGTCACGGTTGGGTTCGTCGCTCTGGCGTGGTGCACGGTGTGTGAGTGAGTGAGTGACGTATGTGATGTGATGCGAGCAGCCCGCGAGTCCGGTGAAAGTTTGTCATCAGAGTAGCCCGCGCGGCGGCTCGGCTCATGGTAGGCGAGAGGGAGAGAGTCGGTCGGATCAACATGGCACGGCTGGGGAGAGGGGTGGTGTTGCAGCAGGACTTGGGACAGGCCGACAGGGAAGGGCTGCCGGCGTAGGGACGGGAGGGGCGTGGCGCGCGGAGGCGGTCAGGGGCGGCAACGGCAACGGCAGCGGGGAGAGGCATCCCATCCACCATTGTGCCTGGAAGCTTCACTGCCTCACCGGGCTGTCGATCAATTGCCAGCGGCGAAGGAGAGTCGCGAGCTGTCAGTCGACACACGCACTGGCACGGCTTTTTTTCGCGAAGCTTTGGCAGTGCAGCGCGGGGCGACGGGCGGTCTGGGGGCCCCTGAGGGTGTTGCCCCGTGCTCCGCGAACACCACATCGCGCCTGCCGAAGGAACAATCCATCTTTTTCTCAACGACTCCAGCTGCCAGTCCCGACAAGTCCCCGCCTGCGAGTCGTGTTTTTTCCCTTCTCCTTTTTTCCTGCTCCCTTTTCTTCTGCCTTCTCTTTTCCTCGTCGTGCCCCGCCGTTGTGTGTCGTTGTCTGGTCCCGAGTCCTTGTTACTTCCCTTGACCGCATCTTCACCGAACCCACAAAATGCCAGACTCGGAGCATCAAGAGACCACGTCGACCGCTCCGGCTGACTCGAACCCCTCCAGACCGGCAGCCCCCGCTCATAAGAAGAGCTCCTCCGTCGCCAGCACTTCGAGCTCTGCAGCAAAGAGCGGCGTCACCGGTGCCCCTCGTCGCCCGGCCTCGACCATCATGTCGTCAACTTCTCGCACGCCTGCCACAACGCGTGCCTCGGCCACGAGGCCCACGGCTGCCTCGTCGGCCGCGCGCACCTCCTCTACCAATGTGAACAAACCGCCCACCCGCCCTACATCGACGGCCTCGTCGGCCGCCAAGGCCCGCCCTGGCTCCGTCGCCAGGATGGTGTCGGACGTCGAGCAAGGCTCGGGAGAGGAGAACAAGCGGCCCGGCTCGGTGGCCTCGAAGCGCCTTTCTTCGACCGGCACGGCCACCTCCCGCGCTACCGCCCCGACGGCCTCGACGGCTCGCCGCACGCCCTCCACTACCACCACTTCCGCCACTCCTAGGCGGCCTCCCGTTCCTACCCGCACATCTACAACCGACTCCGCCTCGAAGCGGTCTTCATTGACCTCTTCCAAGCCCTCGACGACGTCGACCACGCGTGCCCGGACAGGCACCGTCTCGACGGCTCGTGGCACCGCCGAGAAGAGGGCGTCGACCTCTGGCACTCCGGCTTCTGTTGGTGACGGGCTCAAGAGGTATGTACTTTGACCCATTTTACCCCGCTCTCGTAGGGCTTTTGCTGACTGTCGATCGCAGCCCCACCATTCCCGAAACTCCTGTCGAGGAGGAAGCTCCCGCTGCTCCGGATGCTGAGGCTGAGACGGCCGACGCGGCCGAGCCGGCCGAGCCAGCTGCCCCGGCTGAGCCCGAGGCTGAAGAAGAGCCGGCCCTCCCCAGCAACGCCGAGTCGATGGATGAATCTGTGAGGAGTCCTGATGCGTCCCACGTTTCCCATGCTTCTCGCGATCAAAATGAAATTATGCACGACCTCACCGCCGAATTTGACCAGCGCAAGGCTCTTGAGACTAAAATCCAAGAGCTTGAATCCCAAATTGAAGAGATGCAAGCTGACAAGTCCTCTTCGGATTCAAAGACTTCGGATGCGTTGAGTGACCTAGAGCGCGAGCGCGAGGAGCACGCCAGTGCTTTGGAGACTGCTCAGCGCGATTGGGAGGCTCAGACCGAAGACATTCGTCGCCGGAACGATGAGCTCAAGCTCAAGGCCGTCGAGCTCGAGGACGTCAAGAACCGTCTTGAGCAGTCCAAGGGCGAGACCACCGAGGTCAATGAGCAGAACAAGGAGCTCGTCGAGACTCTCGCCAAGCTTCAGGCTGAGATTGACCGCGCGTCGGACGAACTCGACGAGCGCGAGCGCGAGAAGGAGGAGGAAAAGCGCATTGCCGCCGAAAAGACCGCGCAGCTCGAGGCCGACCTCGAGGCTGAGCGCAAGTCGTCGGCCGAGAAGCTCGCCGGTATGGAGGCTGAGCTGTCTGAGGCCAAGAAGCTTCAGGCGGAGCTCGATGCCGAGAGGAAGTCTTCGGAGGAGCGTATTGCTCGCCTCGAGTCGGAGCTGTCATCTGCGTCTGGCAACACCAGCGACGAGGTCAGCCGTCTCAACGATGAACTCGAGACCGAGAGGAAGGCCTCTGCCGATAAGATCAGCGAGCTCGAGGAACAGCTTTCGCAGGCCAAGAGCGGCGTCGAGGAGCAGCTCAAGGCTCTGCACGAAGAGATGGACTTTGAGAAGAAGGCGTCCGCGGAGAAGATCAGCCAGCTCGAAGGCGAGCTGTCGGCTGCCAAGGAGGGCTCGAGCGACGACGCTGCTCGCCTCAACGAGGAACTCCAGATGGAGAAGACCAAGTCGGCCGAGCGCATTGCTCTGCTCGAGGCCGAACTCTCCACCGCCAAGGAGGGCGGCAACGACGAGGTCAAGCGTCTCGCCGAAGAGCTCGAGACTGAGAAGAACCGCTCCGCCGACACCATCAGCCAGCTCAAGATCGACTTGGCCGCCGTCAGGGAAGACTCGGAGCACGAGGTCAACCGTCTCAAGGCCAACATTGAAGGCTACGAGCAGAGGCTTCAGGGCGAGCGCAACAGCCTCACCAGCAAGATCGAGGAGCTCGAGGGCAAGGTCTTTGACCTCGCTGCCGAATCCAACATGCACAAGCGCTCTCTCGACGAGGCTGCTGCCGCCCACAAGGAGAAGCTCGACAACGAGCGGACCGCTGCGGCTTCGGCCATCGAGGCTCTCGAGGCTAAGCTCTCGTCGGCCGAGATGGAAGACAGCGCCGCTACTGGCCGCCTTGAGGAGGAACTCAAGAAGGCCCGCGGCGAGCTTGAGGCTTCGACCGAAAAGATGGCTCTTCTCGAGAAGGAACTTGCTGCCGCCAAGGAGGGTAGCAGCGAGGAGGCGAACTTGCTCAGGGCAGAGCTCGACCAGCACCTGAAGCAGCTTGAGGAGGAACGCGCTGCTGCGTCTTCTCTCCAAGAGAAGCTGGCCAGCCTCGAGAAGGAGAACTCTGAGAGGATTGCTGCTCTGGAGGCTGAGCTTGCTGCTGCCAAGGAGGGTAGCGGTGAGGAGGCTTCCGCTCTTAAGGTTGAGCTTGAGCAGTCCCAGAAGCAGCTCGAAGAGGAGCGCGCAACTGCTCAGGCTGAGATTGAAAAGTCTCACAAGCAGCTCGAGGAGGAGCGTCTTTCGACCCAATCCTTCCAGGACAAGTTCGCTACCGCCGAGAAGGAGCACACCGAGAGGATTGCTCTTCTGGAGAGGGACCTTACCGCTGCCATGGAGGGCAGTGGCGAGGAAACCGTCGTCCTCAGGGCTGAGCTTGAGAAGTACCAGAAGCAGCTGGAAGAGGAGCGCACCGCTATGCAGTCTCTCAAGGATACGTTCGCTGCCGCCGAGAAGGAGCACGTCGAGAAGGCTGCCAGCTTCGAGGAGGCCCTGAAGCAGCACGTTGACCAGCTCGAGCAAGAAAAGGCTGCTGCCAAGGCTCACCAGGACAAGGCCGAGGAGCTTACTGCCTCGTTCGAGAGCGTCGTCGCCGACAAGACTCGCGCTCTGGAGGAGAACCTCAAGGTCCGCTCCACTGAGCTTGAGCAGGCTTTGGCTTCCCACCAGACTCTCGAGACGAAGCTTGCCACTTTCGAGCAGGAGGCGGCCGAGAAGGCGCGTGCCCTGGAGGAGAGTCTGGCTAAGCGCGCCGAGGAGCTCGAGCAGCACAAGGCCGAGTCCAAGGCTCTCGAGGAGAAGCTTACTGCCATGCGCGAGGATGCTGCCGACAAGACGCTCGAGGCTGGTGACCAGCTCAAGAAGCAGCTGGATGAGCTCGAGCAGGAGAAGGCCGACGCCATTGCCAAGGTCGACACTCTGCAGGAGAGGATCATTGCTCTTGAGCAGGAATCGACCGACAAGGTCACCCGCTCCGAGGGAGAGCTCAAGGCTCTGACCGGTGTCTTTGAGCAGGAGAAGTCTTCCATGGATGCCACCATTTCGGCTCTCCAGGAGAAGATTGCCTCTCTTGAGCAGGACAAGGCCGATGTTTCTCGCAGCCAGGAGGATGACTCTGGCGCTCAGGCCGAGCTCAAGGCCGCTCACGAGCAGCTCGAGCAGGACAAGGCTGCTCTGGACGCTACCGTCACCTCTCTCCAGGAGAAGGTCTCTGTTCTCGAGCAAGAGAAGGGTGACCTCACTCGTCACTTTGAGGCCGAGAACGGTGTCCTTGAGGATCTGCGCAACGAGATTGCCGAGCTCCGCAGCGGCAGCGACAACTTCAACGACGAGAAGGCTGTCCTCGAGGCCAAGCTCTACGACCTTACTAACCGCATCGAGGCTGCTAGCAACGAGATTGCGGCCAAGGATGCCCAGATCGCTACCATGTTCGCCGACCACTACGAGCACCAGCAGACCATCACCGAGCTGTCGACCAGGGCCGACGAGGTCGAGCAGGCCCACGCGCGCGTTGCCGCTCTTGAGCTTGAGCTTAGCACTGCCCACGGCCAGACTTCCGATGTTGAGGTTGTCGAGAGCCTGCAGAACCGCATTGCCGAGCTCGAGCAGCAGCACGCCGATGCTGTCCGCTCCCACAAGGAAGCCCTGAACAGCAAGAGCCTCGAGGGCGCCGAGGAGGTGTCTGACGTCAAGACCAAGTTCCAAGAGGAGCTCGCCCGCTCCCTCGAGGACTTCAGCACCCGCATCAATGAGGCCAACGACATGCTCGAGGCTGAGAAGAAGAACTCGGCGTTCATCAAGTCGTCCATGGAGAAGTCCATGACTGAGACGGCCACGAAGCTCGAGGACCTGCAGGTCAAGTTCACCAACCAGTTCGCCCGCGGCTCTGAGCTTCAGAAGAGGGTCGACGAGCTGCTCTCTCGCGAGGCCGAGCTTGGCTCCGAGGTCCGCACTCTGACCGAGGCCAAGAGCGAGTTCGAGAACGAGCGCGCCAAGCACGTCGCCGAGCTCAAGGCTCTTGCCGAGGAGAGGGAGAACCTCGAGAAGCAGCTCACCGGCACCGACAAGAGCGCCGACATCGCCGCCCTCACCGAGGAGAAGGAGGCGTTGGCCAACCAGATTGCCGAGCTGCAGATTCAGCTCAAGGCCGAGCGCCGCAAGTCGCAGGAGGAGAGCGACGTCATTGCCGCCAGCCTCCAGGCGAACATTGAGAAGCTCAACACCGACATCCAGACGTTCGCCGCCGACAAGGACGCTCTTCAGCAGCAGCTTGCCGAGGCCGAGGATGCCCTCAAGGCCGAGCGTCGCAAGTCCCAGGCCGACAACGAGGCCGCTGTCGCCACGCTCCAGGAGAGCATCATCAGCCTCCAGCAGAGTTTGTCGGACGCCGACTCGAAGCTTTCTGACAGCGAGACCGAGTACAAGGCCACGATCGACGCCCTCCAGGGTGAGATTGAGAAGCTCAAGAGCTCCGAGTCAGACGCACGCAAGTCGTTCCACGAGGAGAACCAGGGCCTCGTCAGCGCCCTCCAGGAGAGCATCGCCAACCTGCAGGACAAGCTCGAGACTGCTGACAGGAAGTTGTCCGAGACCGAGGCGGACCACAAGGGCGTCATTGAGGCGCTGCAGGGCGAGATTGAGAAGCTGCGCCGCCGCGCTAGCGACACCGTCAAGGACAAGGATGCGGAGATTTCGCATCTCCAGCTCGAGTTTAACTCGATCCAGGCCAAGCTCGCTGACGCGCAGCCCAAGCTCGAGGACTACGAGGACAAGTGTCGCCAGGTTGATGGCCTGATGATGACGCTTGACACGCTGAACCAGACGCACGAGGAGAGGGACGGTCACTACGTGGCCAACTCTGCTCGTCTGAAGCAGGAGCACGAGTTCGAGGTTGCCCGCGTCAGGCACGAACTCGAATCTGAGATCGACAGGCTCAAGGCCCGGCACCAGGAGCTGTTGGAAGTTGCTGGAAAGGTAACAGTCACACCTCCGCGTCCGACATTCCAATTTAGACGCTGATGATCTGTGTCAGTCCGAGCGCGATATCAAGGAGATGAAGGAGGAATTCAGCACGGAGAAGGAGAAGCTCATGGAGCACTTTGCCACCGAGATGGAGTCGCTCCGCCAGGAGTACGACGATAAGTACGAAGCCTGCCCTCTGATCGCTGACAATGCTTGCGCGCCAGATTTTCAAATTCATCCGCTGACCCGCAACAGGTACGAGGAGGAGCGCGACGAGAACGTCAAGAAGGTCTCGGAGCTGAAGGAGGCCCACCTATCGGCCATGCAGGCGCTGCAGGGCGAGCTCGACCGTGTCAAGCTTGAGCACGACGACGCCGACCACATGTACGCCAAGGCCATGGAGCAGGCTCTCGAGGAGGAGAGGATGAAGCTCCGCGCCGAGGCCGCCTCCAAGGAGACGGAGATTACGGAGGAGTTTAAGAAGAACAAGGAGGCCGCGATTGCCAAGATGGTGGACCTGCTCAACGAGTCTCACGAGGAGCAGAACGGCTACCTGATTGAGCTGAAGAACCTCCGCAACCAGTACGCGCAGATGGAGGCGCAGCTGGCCAGCACCAAGGAGAGCCCGCGCATTGCCGACCTGATCAAGGAGTGCGAGCACTGGAAGGCGCGCGTGGCGCAGCTCGAGGCGGAGCTGTACTCGTTCCGGCACAGCGGGGGCAACGCGCCGCCGCCGTACGAGCGCGCCGACGGGCCCGAGGGCACGGAGCGCGGCGGCCAGGTGCGCAGCATTGACGAGAGAAGGCCGAGCGTTGCAGCCAGGGTAAGTGAAGCTAGAAACCCTCCTTGTTGAAACATAAGAAATATTGACACCGAGCTGACGATGGAACGACAGATGGCCGGCCTGAACGAGCAGATTCGCCAGCTCGAGGAGCTTAACGACGAGGTCATCAGCCAGAACTCGGGCGTCGCCGACTATATCCGCAACGGCAACATTACCAAGGGCCATGCTGTCACGGCGGTGCAGCCGGTTAACTCTGCGTAGATGCGCTGATGTTGCTACTACTGTTTTGAGTGACGTGTTGGTGGTGGTTTCTTGTGTTGTTGGTGACGGTGATGACTCTCTCGGTTCGGCTCTCTCTCGGATACTTCCTCCTTCTCTCCGTTTAGGATACCCCTCGGGCGGCGGGCGCCTTTGTCGTGCTTCCTTCACTGGCTTCTTCTTGCACGCATGGCTACTGGCTTTTGCGGCTTGTGCTAGGCTAGCTGTGGTTGTGGGCGGGTGCGCGGCGGTTGCTTCGTTTTTCGTTTCTTTCATCGTTTCGTTGTTGTGTGTGGATGGATGGGGTGCGTTTAGGATTGGGTTGGGTTGGGCCTTTTTTTCGTTTTCGTTTCGTTTCTCTTTGTTGTTGAGTGCTATGCGCATGGCTTGTGCATTGCATCGCATCGCATGGGCATGGTCTGGCATGGTTTGGTTGGTACGGTATGATTGATGATGGATTGATTGATTGATGGGGCTATGCATGCATGCATGTTTGCTGGGTGTGCATGGCTGGGTGGGTGGGTATGTATATATTTACAGACAGACAGACTTACGGACTTATACATACGGACTATGGACTATGCATATATGAGTATGGCTTGCCTATGGACTTGGACTTGGTCTTGGTCTTGGTCTCAGTGAAGAAATTGAGTGGAAAATATAGAGGAAGATCAAATCAATTCGGGTTTTCTGCCTGCCTGCCTGCCTGGCTAGGTTGGTTTGGTTTGTATGTACGAAACGAACGTGGTCGTCGGCCTGCTTGCCTGCTTGCCTGCTTGGCGGACTGATGAACTAATAAAAAACAGCAAAAAAGGCTCCCCTCACCCACCCCCTCACCACCCTACCGCCAAGTATCCGACACAGTCGCCTGCGCACTACACCCCCGCGGGACAGCATAACTGCGGTTCGGATCGCTCTCCCATGTCACCGCTCCGCCAGTCTTCTTGATATACTTGTACGCGACGCTGCTCCCTGCGCCCAGCTGCACAGAGCCCTCCCACACGGGGTTGGCGTCCGTGTACTTGGCTGCTGACAACTTGACGGCGTTGGCCGGCGCCCAGCTGCCGAGTGCTGCGTTGTCGCCGACGACGTAGACGTCGGTGCCGACGGTGGTTTTTACTTTGACGGAAAAGGTTACGGCCACGCTGGAAGCGGTCGCGCAGGCTGCTGTGCTGCTGGACGTCGTGCGCGACGTCGTGGTCGTGGGCCTGGCTGTTGTGGAAGTCGAGGGGATGGGCCCCCCGCCTCCGCCTGTCTGGCCCGGCGGGAAGACCGTGTTCGTCGCGGGGCTGTAGGTGCCGCTCGCGGCGCTGGCGGCGCACACGTCGGGGACCGTGTTAGCGGACTCTTCGCCCCAGGAAGCAGGGACGACGGCGTTGCGCCGCGATACCGCGGTCAGCACTGCCGCGTAGCTCCAGGTCAGCTTCGCGGCCGAGAGGGGCGTGCCGTCGCTGCGCGAGTATTGCTCGGCCAGTGCGCCATCGCTGGGCGTGTACTTTTGCACGATGGCGACGAAGCCGTCGGCGAATGTCTTTACGGCGTTGGTGAGGGAGGTGTATTCGGCGCTGCCCGAGGCGTAGGTCCCGACGGCGGCGCTGCTGCTGAGGGACGTGAAGAAGGGCAGCGACACGGCGTCGATGCTGAGGCTGCCCACCTGCTCCCACTGGTACAGCGCGTCGTACAGCTGCTCGGCGCACGCCAGCGTCGTCAGGTACCACGGGTTGCCGCCCATGTACGAGTCCTCGGCGTAGCGGCCGACGGCGGCGGCCTGGCCCTCGCCCAGCCCGCTGTTGATGCTGTAGATGGAGCGGAACGAGTCGACGACGGCTTTGAGGTTGGCTAGTGCCCGCGACGAGCACGGCTGGAACGTCGTGTCATCGCACGCGGCGGCTGGGTCGAACGTGTGGATCGATGCGAGGACGGAGTTGGTGTCTTTGCCCGAGCGCCCGCCGCCGAAGTTCGACACGACGTAGTTGCCTTGGCTGTTCCAGAACGACTGCAGGAAACACAGCGTCTGCGGCGCTTGCGAGTCGCAGTACGCACATGTCTCGCCGAGTTGGGCGGCGAGGGCGCTGCCTTCGACTAGGGCGCGGTGCTGGACGGCGATGGTGAAGAAGGACGAGCCTTGCACTTCTTCCCTGAGTGTGTGTTAGAAGAAGAAGAAGAAGATGATGATGATGATGAAGATGAAGAAGAAGCACACGAGGGCGTCCTACCAGAGATCAAAGCCCGTCTGGTTCCAGTACTGCGCGACGTACGACAAGTCATTGCGAATGACCGGCCACAGGACATCATGAGCCGTGTCCGTATAGCCATTAGCCACAAGCCAGCGAGCGTAGGCAATGACGGCCGTGGCGCGGAGGGCGGGCCCGTCGCGCTGGGGGCGGCCCCACGCGCCCGTGAACTGCGTCTTGTCGACGTTGAACTTGGGCTCGCCCAGCCCGAGCCCGTTGGACAGGTCGCCCGACGGGTTCGACACCTGCTGGAGCTGCGCCTGCGAGATGATGAAGTTCTGGATGTCGGCCTGCAGCGACGTGTCCCCCGCGATGAAGAGGTCCACTATCGCCTTGAACACGAGCGACGCGTCGCGCGTCCAGGTGTAGAAGTCTGCGGGGTGCGGGTTAGATTGGAGTGATTGGCTTGCGGGACCGCGTCGTGTGCTGTGTATGTATGTACTTACAGTCGGGGTCGCTCTTGGACGGGCTGGCCACGACGATGCCCTCGGCCGCGCCTTGGGCTCCGGACCCGTCCGCCCCAATGTTGTCTAGCAGGCTCTGGTACGCAATGGGGCTCTCCGAGGCAAGGTAGCCCTCGACGCCATCCTGTCTCTTGTGGGCGGCTGTGGGCACGCTCGCACCTCCCTGGAAGAGGAGACTGCCCACCAGTCCCGCAAGCGCGAGGACCTTGGACGCGATCATCTTGGGGGAGTGCTCACAGACGAGAGGGGAACGAAGGAAGCTCTCAATTGATCAGAGAACGAGAGCGTGGTGTTGTTTGACTGCGCAGGCTCCCGGGGTCAAGCTTGCTACCGAGCTCAAGACGCTGGCCATGGGCGTGCTTTTTATACCCTTTCTTTCCGTCTCTCCTAGACGCCAGTAGCTATAGCTTTTCTCTCAAGACCTGGCCGTGCATACATACAGACGGACGTCGGGCACAGAGGCGCATCGTGGGTGTCGTCGCGGAGGCAGAGCTGAAGGCGGAAGGTCGACACATGAGCAAGGTGGTGATTGGACGCGCGGGTGAACGACATTGCGCTTGTGACGATCAGGATTTTTCCCCTAGAAGCAGGCCATGGCGATGCGGGGAATGGGTACCTTGCAGGGGCTGTGGGGACGAGGCGTATATTCGGGCGACTCGAAACATAGCACCAGACGGCAGAGCTGCTCTGTCGGGACACGGCGTCACATGCCCACCAAAGCACCGAGGCTTGGAGCTTGCACTTTGCTTTTCGCCTAGCGCGAATTTGTTCTCTGTTCGATGTATTTCTCGTCCAATCACGCCTCGCCCCGCTGCACCTTTCCGTGGATTTTTGCCTCAATGGTGCCTGTTCCTCCGTCTACGCGTCTTCTAGAAGCCCGCACTAGCCATCGTCATGCGGCTGCCTTGGCTTCGCTATACACTTCTTCTTTTTCCCTCTCTGCCTGGCAAGCCGCGGCTCTCCCAACGGCCGCAAGCCTCTGCAGAATCCCCACAACGGATAGTCCTCCGTCGACTGACCCCACACTGCAACCTCATAGCGTGCCGATCACGCTTCCGTCCTGCCATTGTGGCATGAAGAGGCCTTGGCCAGGCGCGCCGTCCGAGGTCGAAATGTCCAGGCACACCACTGACCACTGCTGCCCGTGTGATGTGTATTCTCGACGCCGCCGCCAGACGCCACGCCTTCCAGAAGCATTCGACGGGGGCGCCATGCCGTGATGGAGCCTTTTTTTCCTGCATTCTACCCGCTGCACGCTGACATTGGCGGCAGCCTCCTGCTTCTTCCAGCTCCTTCCTCGCTCCTGTGCGGTATGTCCAGGTGACGGCGGCGGCGACGACATCAGCTTGCTGTCACCCTTGTCAGAACGTCCAGGACGAAGCGAGCAAAGAATTCATCAGCGGCCATCCCGGGTGCTATACAACCTGCGTCACCCGCGTCTGGCTGTCCAATCTATTATGCCCCTGCATCCTGCGGTGGATCCCCCGTAGCGGGCCAGTGTGCCACCACCCCTTCTTCGGCCGGGCTCCGTTTTGTGATTCGCCGTCTCCCTGCCCGCTGCTGCTCTCCTTCTCCATCTCGATGCCCGGCGTCGACACGTCCCCCAGCTCGTCAAAGTTGCTGAGCACCGTGTTGGTCCGCTCAAAGGGGAACTCCCGGTATGCTGTATCTTCCGGGTCCTCGGTCGTTTCCGTGTGCTTTTCGGCCGCTGCCGCTGCCGCTGCCTCTGCTTCCTTGGCCGCTTTTTTCCTGTCCTTTCGCCGCCCGAGAAAGCCAGACATGAACCGTATGAACCATCCAATCGTCTTGAAGAGCGCCTTGCACCTTGTTTTCCAAAACTCGTAGCCTTTCGTCGTGTTCAGCGAGCCGATCAGCAGGAGGAAGGGCACGCAGACGCAGACCATGGTAATGCCAAACGGCCAGAAATGCGGCTCCGTCGGCATGTTGGTCATGCCAAACACGGACGTGACAAACGTCAGTGGCAGGAAGAAGATGTTGACCAGCGTCAGCAGCTTGACGTTGTGCCCTTGCAGAATCGTGATTTCTGCAAGTTCAACCGACTTCCTGCTTTCCAGCACCGACGTGCCGCTGAAAAGCTGGTCACGCAGATCCCTAATCTCCCCGCGCCGCGCGTTGTTCTCCTCAATCTGCGTCCGGAGCTTCCGCATCTCGCGCTCCAGCTCCTTGCGTAGTAAGTACGCCTTTCGTCTAAAGTGGTCGTTGCGCGGCATTTCCTCATCCATTAGTGGCCAGAGGGTCTTGTGTTTTCCCTCCCAAACCTCTTCCGTAAACGTGTCTTCGTAAGCGTCAATCATTGCCTTGATGCTGTCGTTAATGGACCCCAGCGTCTGGTGGGCCCAGAAGTATCCTCGTGTGAAAGTGAAATTCGAATCTTCAAAAAGCCGCCTGTCCCTGAGCTCCTCGTCAAAAATAAAGTCCGGCGGCGGGGTTATCAGCTTGGTGATCCGCCTGTATATCTCTTCGTAGCGTCGCCGCGCGTCACGAAACTCCATCAACACCGTCTGAAGGAACGCCTCGGGTCCGTTGACGTAGTGTTTCGACGAGTCGTGCACGTCCGCACTGCTTTCCCAATCGGGACAGGCCTGAACGTTGAGAACAATCCATGGCGAAAAAGGATCGTATACTTGGCCATGTTTGGTTTTTGCGTTTGTTCTCCTCGACGTGTTGCGAACCTTCTTTATGGGGTCGCCGAGCAGAGCAAGAGCCACGACGGAGCTGCAGCGCGTAAGGGGAATGTGACTCTGAGACTCTCCGACCTGCTTGTCGGAACTCTGCCATGGCATCGGCTTGCGTTCGTCACCAATAATGGTAAAATACTCGAAACAGAATGTAAATGTACGTTGCCTCCGGGGGTCTTCGTCAAAAGCCCGGTGAGGGAAGGCCTGCAAGGTTAGTATGTTGGCTTGGATTTAGCTGGCATCGGCAACTTACCGAGGTGATCTCAGACTCAACGAGATGGCGATATATCTCGTCCATGTCAAAGTGCTCGTTCATGGCGAAGTGTAGGGCGCCGAATATGATCGGACTGGGCTCCTGAGCCACACTAAAGAGGTCAGTTTGATTCACATGACAGACATTGTAGACGTACATGATCCGACCTACGGTGGTACTTTTTTCCTCATCCTGGTTTACTTCCTGGGAACAGTTAGAGTGGTGTTAAGTGTTAAAGTAACAATGCAAACATACCCTAAACGCGTTCCAAAAGCCGGCTGATTTCGAGATGGATTCTTCATCATCACCGGTGATGCTCAGCGGACTGCCGTCCGTGCTCACATCAAAGACTTCATAATGTGCGTAGTGGGCTTTGTCGTTTGCCCGGCTCGGCTTGTGAAACAGCACAGGGTGTTTCAACCGGCCGTTGTGTATGATGTTTTCGAGTATCTTTTGACCTGCCGGAGACCAATCATAGGTTCTGAGGTACTCGCGTAGTTTATCTTCGGCAAGGGTCCTTTTCGGCAACGGCGTTTGGACCTTTATACAAATTCGTTAGCAAGTGGAGTCGTACAAGAGAAAGTGAGGGGACGGGAGCATCTACTGCCGCCAGACGGTGGCTGTGTAGACATCCCGACTGGCCCAAGCGCCTGTACAAAGGAACCTCTGTAAACGTACATAGTAAGATTCATCATCTTCATCATCGCTATCCACGGAGAGCGCCGAGCCCGTCTGCATCAACGAGGCGATGCCAGACGTAGCCTTGCGCAGTGGTTCGGCGATGGAGACGGTCGACTGCCTGCCAATGGCGGCCAAATTCGGTGTCCCTGGACAAGCGTCGTTGCCCTCGGCATCCTGCTTCTCTTGCTTGAGAGCATCGTGCACGCGCTGCTCCAGGGCCAGGAAGGCGGCACGCTGCTCTTCAAGCTGCTGCAAGAGTTCGTCGGCGCTCATCGTGACCGGCAACGCTGTCCCAGGTAGACCGGCTGTCAGAGCAGAGTCTTCAGGAACCCCAAGACCAAGTCCAAGATGCAGGGCCGTTGCTGGTCTATCCTCGGGCTCGGGAAGACCACCCCGAAGGATCGTGCCGCGCGTGGTGTGCACTGAGCCGCAATCGCCGCACTGGGGATACATGATTCAGGTGGGTTTGCGGTAGCCCCATCTGGGCCGTGGAGAAGCGGTGAGAATTTTCGGCCAAACAAAACGCGACATGTACCTCCAGCGGATACGGGCTGGACCGGTGAGGAGCGACTGGCTCGAGATAGCCAAACTTTTTGGAATGCCAAGCTGCTCACACAATACGAAGGGCGAATGGGAATAAGGCAAACGGCTCGGTTATAGGCGACCTGAAGCTGCCCGACGGTCATGATCGTCGCCATTGAGTTGGAAAAGCACCTGCACGTAACCGCCACTGCGACCCGACTGCTTGTCACGAAGTGGGTGGCGACGATAATGAGAGAGATGGTGGGACGTTGAGACGTGAAGTGCGGGCGTGCCTGGCCGTGACGTCAGCCTATAGGGCATGGATGTTGACATTTCCCAACTCCTCACCGTCTCCCATCGGGCTCTTGGAGGATGGGATTGCCTTGGAAGGCGGCGGCTTGGTCTTCGGGTGGCTTTCGGGGCCGCGTGAAGCGCAAGCACGCGTTCCGACCACGGAAGCAAAACCATCATCTTTGCGCCGCTCCCGGCCCTTTGATTGGTGGCCGCATCGCAGCTACGGTTACGGCTCGCAAGTCCTTCCCCGCCATGCATGCCGCGTTAGGACCAGCTTGTCTGATCACTACTTTTTGTTTGGTGACGGCCAGCCTTAACTTCAGGCACCGGACGTGTTTGTTTCTCCGTGGGGCTAGGATCCTCATCCATGGCGTCTCACGGATCTCACATCTCAACTTCACTCAACGGTTCAAGTGAAGCTGGTTCCTGCCAAGACGGGCCGCGTTTCATCAGCAGTGGATATCATCGCTGGCGTTGGTGTCGAACAGGGTCGAAACTTAGTCACTCCCGTCCCACGACAGATGTGTAGCCTGCCCCACATTCAAGTTACTTTCAAGGAAGTCCCGTTGGTCATTAGTGTCGTACATCCGGAGCTGACGCTTGGAACTCAATAAACGTGCAAAAAGCGAAGTTTGTCTTTGAAGTTCTCGCGTCGCTTATAGTAGACGCAGTCGTTTCCGAATATGGAAGGTGTGCGACATATAAGATTTGCGAAATGACCAATGGACTGAAGCTCAGCTCTTGCCGAGACCACTGTGGTCACACGCTGCAAGTCGATCAATTCGGATATACAGAAAAGCATAAGCAAGAATGGCTTGCGCGCCAAGCCAAAAACAATTGTCGATTCTGTTGGACACCGCGAAATAAATTTACAGGATTTACTACAAGTGTCAAACGGTTTATTTCTTCTGCTCCTCCTCTTTCTTGGGCTCAGGCTTGGGCGTGGGCAGCTTGAACTGTGCAAAGTCAGTATGCGCAAAAGTAGCATCGACAGGTCAACTTACGCTCTCCGGCGTCCTGTCCTCACCGGGGCCAACCTGCTCCCAGGCGCTAGTGCCACCCTGCGTCTTGTCAGTACCCTGCATCCAGGCTTGAGACTTGCGAACCATACCCTGAAGTTCCTGAAAGCCTGGGTCATTTCCAGAGGCTCGACAACAATGCGCTTCTTCTCCTCGTCGTAGCGGATCTCAGTGTAACCCGTCATGGGGAAATCCTTCCTCAATGGGTGTCCATCGAAACCGTAATCCGTCATGATTCTCCGCAGATCAGGGTGGCCCACGAAGAAAACGCCAAAAAGGTCGTAGACCTCGCGCTCGTACCAGTTAGCGCCATCATACAGGCTGGTGATTGAAGGGACGGGCGTGGCCTCGTCGGCGTAGGTCTTGACACGGATGCGCGAGTTGTGGCGGACGCTCAGCAGGTTGTAGACAACCTCGAAGCGCTGGTCCTTGGTGGGGTAGTCGACGGCAGTGATGTCGGAGACCTGGGTGTACTCGGCGGCCGTGTGCAGCTTGAGGAAAGTGAAGACGGGAATGACGCCAGAGGGAGGGATGTAGATGGTCAACTCATCCTTCCAGACGGAGAACCTGGGCGGGGTCAGCGGCGGCGCGCATTGACGGCCGGGAACGGGGCGCCTACTGTTGTATGTACTTGGGCAAGCACGAGAGCAGGTACTGGCCGTACTTGTGCAGGGCCTCGCCCTTCTCAGCGTACTTGTCGACGGGGTTGACGACAGGGCGATGCTCGATGGGCTGCGGGGCGCGCTGGGCATACTGGTGCAGGGTCAGCGGGGGCGCGCGATGCAGGACGGCAAGGCACGCGTACCCTCAAGTTTGGCAGCGACGAGACATCGGCCTCGGGCTGCTTGGCCCGCACGACGGTGGTGGTGAAGCTGCGGACGGCATTGGCACGCACGGAGGAGCGGCCGGCGGCGCGCACAGCGGCAGCGGCGGCGCCGTGGGAGAGACGCAGGCTGCTCATGACAATGGCAGGCCTGAGACAGAGGGAGAGTCGGGACGGAGGCAGACCAATTGCTGCGGTGACAGAGGGAATGGCGCAGCTTGTGGTCGTCGAGGTCATCATGTATTGATGCTTGTCGATTCGCTGGGCTGCACGCTCGCGGACTAGCGGCTTGGCACTTGGCACCGGCTGCAGCTTCTTTGCCGGCCGCGATGCCCTGGACTCTTTCCAGGACCGTCTCCTGCCACTTCACCCGCCCGTTCACGACTCTCCCCTTGTCTCCCCGCCGCCGGCGTTCGCGTGCTTTCGTTGCTGCTTCGTTGCCTCTCCTCACCTCCCTCGACTTGTTTCGCCTCCCGCTCTCGCCGTCCTCCTTGTGCGCCACATCGCACGCTGCACCCATAGCCACCATGTCCCGCACTCAGATAGACCAGTTCATCGACGATGAGGAGGAGGAGCTCTGCCCGCTGTGCGTCGAGGAGTTTGATCTGTCGGACAAGAACTTCAGGCCTTGCCCTTGCGGCTATCAGGTGCGCTGGCCTCTGCGTTTGGCTCTGCCTTGCAACTGACACCCCGCAGATATGCCAGTTCTGCTACAACAATATCAAGACGACTATGAACGGCCTTTGCCCTGCCTGCCGACGCCCTTACGATGAAAAGAGCATAGAATGGAAGGTCATCAGCCCGGAAGAGTGAGCCGCCCACCTCCCCTCACTTGCGCGCATAAGTTCTGACCTTTCTAGGATGGCCAACTACAAGGCAGATCTGGCTCAGCAGGCCAAGAAAAAGGCCGCTGCTCGACAAAAGGAGGCTCAGAAGCGCGAGGCCGATTCACTCAGCCGCAAGCACCTCGCCGGTCTCCGGGTCGTCCAGAAGAACCTTGTCTACGTTACCGGCCTCAACCCGACCACGCGCGAAGACAAGCTACTGGAAACTTTGCGCGGCGATCAATATTTTGGGCAATACGGCAAGATTGTCAAGATTGTTGTCAGCAAGGCCAAGGATACGTCACACCCGCAACAATCAGTTGGCGTTTATGTCACCTTCGCTAGGAAGGAAGATGCTGCTACTTGCATTGCGGCTGTGGACGGCTCGATCAACGGCGATCGTACACTGAGGTTGGTCGCGTGTTTGCATGCGCATGGGCGGAGCTGACAAAATCTAGGGCCCAGTACGGAACGACCAAGTACTGTTCCGCTTACCTTCGCAACGAGCAGTGCAATAACCGCAATTGCATGTTCCTCCACGAACCAGGGGAAGAAAACGATAGCTTCACTCGACAAGATTTGTCATCTATGAACGTCATTTCGACGCAAGCTCCTTCGCAATCGCACCACAGTTCCTCTACGTCTCGACACACTCCCCAACCGCAGCCTCCGCCACAACAAGCGCCCCAAGCGGTTGCCGCCGCCGCCCAACCAATGGGAAGGATGGATAGTCACGATGGAAACGCTAGTCCCACGCACGACGGCCCGGCCCTACCATCAACCGCAAGCTGGGCAAACAAACCGCCGCCGACACCACAAGCGCAGAAAGCGAGTCCGACGAACCTCACTGCTTCTCCAGCGCTGCAAGCACCAACTCCTGCCGAGGCCAGTCAGACCAAGCAAAGCGGGAAGAAGGCCAAAGCCAAGGAACAACCGCCGAAACCCGAGGAACCGAAGCCTGTCGAGAAGACGCCTACCCCGCCCCCGCAGCCTGCGCCTCAGCGGAAGCCTACTCACCCGTTGGATGAAGTTTTGAAGAATCTCTCGGGTGATGGCCTGAAGTTTGTATTTTCTTCCGCTACGTTAAGCCCGGAGGATCTTAAGGTTGTTATGAACTTTCCTCCTCTTTTTGATCTGAAAGGAGGTGAGAGAAGGAGATTGCTGCGGGAGAAGGAAGCGGAAGAACGGCAAAGGACGGAAGCTGAGAACCAGGCAATCCGAGAGGCAGCAGTAGCGCAAGAGCAGGAAGAGCAACCGGAGGGTGGCAGTGGTAGTCTGCAGCTCGGCGGTGAGCCGGAGGAGCGAACCGACATGGGCCAGAGACAGCAGCATGCCATTCAACCACCTTCTCAGCAGTCAATCGGTGGTGCCGTCGGCTTGGGACAAAACTTCCCGTTCTCAGAGGACATGGCAAACCTGGGTTTGAACAACCGCGGACTTACGACTCAACAGCAGCAGCAAATTCTGTTGCAGCAGTTCAAGTCGGCCAGCACCCAGAATAGCAGCCTGTTCCAGACCGCGCAGCCTCAGATGCAGAGTGGTATGCAGAACGCAGCCAACCATGCCAGACACACCTCTAGGTTTACTTTTGGCACCGATTCCAACACCGCCACCGCAAACGTCAAGCCCGTCGCCAACGCCAAGCTCATGAACCAACAGGCGTCGATGATGCCTCACAACAACCACTTTAGCCAGCTTTCTCAGCACCAACCGCTCGGCAACCAGTTTTACACGAGCAGCGTTCAGGGACCTCCTCCCGGTCTCAAGACGACTGGTACGCCGCCCATCAGCGGAGGTGGCATGTTCGGACAAGGCCACGGCTTCGCAACTGGTGGTTTGGGCTATGGTGCAAACGCGGTGGGCAGGACCGCCAATGATGACGTAATGAGGGATTTGCTTCGGGGCCGTGGTGGTAATGCTGGCGGCAGCCAGGTGCACGATTCTGGCAAGCGTGAGTTAATGTTCCCTTCTTTCTTGCACCAACATCCCACCGCGACCTCTACGCCCAGCCCAGCCCCTGGCCTTCTGAACTTCCCTTATGGACCTCAGCCTGGCGCATACCAGGATTCTGGCTCCCAGAAGCAGAAGAAGAAGGGTAAGAAGCACAGACATGCTAACACTTCCTCCTCTGGAGGTGGTGTAGTTGATGTTGCGGACCCGAGTATTCTCCAGGCGAGGTTGCACCAAGGCGGAGCCATGGTCGGCCAGGGTCTGTATGCTGGTCAGGGCCAAGGTGGGTTTTCATCCGTGTACAACAGCGGCTTTGGTAGATGGTAGCCGTAGGAGTCCCTTGGCATCAGCACGTTTTTTTTATCTCAGGCCATCCCCTTTTATTGCGTTATGTTGCTTTGGCGTTGCACCGGTGGACAGGCAAGCGATGCATTAGCCCGTACCGTGCCCACGTGGCAGCGGGATGGCTATGGAGTTTCAAGTGGATCTCGGGATTTTCATGTCAACACACGCTGGCAGTAGCGGTCGGCACGAGCATCATGGTTGGGCTTTTGGCATCCAATTCTCTTCTTGTTGAGCTTACGGGCGACGCGTCGCTGCCTTTCTTAGGTCCGACTGCAAGCCTTTCTCTTCGTCTTCGTCATGGCCATCCTTGTACGTAAACGACCCCTCCCGCCCGTTCGACAGGGCCAGTCACTCACAGGTTAATCAGACTTTTGATGGCTTTTATTCAATCCTTTTTTGGCCGTGACGAAGACGAAGTGATGTGTATCTTTTGTATTACATGTTTAGCGCCGGCCTCCATCTACCTTTCGTCTGCCTTTGTCGCCCAGTTTATGAAATAGACTACTGACAGCGACACAGTAGGGGACCAGGACCCACTTTCGCAAAGTGTCGATGCATTGGTCGGCGAAAACGACATGGCATCGATCCAGCCGGCAGAGCTAGCGTACATCCTTGGCCAACCGCGTCGGGCAACACCCACGATTCCTCCGGGATTTTCGGCTCCGTCCAGTAGGCTCGGGACGCCAGGTGGAAGTAGACTTGGAACGCCCGTGACTGGTTCCGTGCGCCCTGCGCTGCCCCCAGGCCTTCCGCCGCCGCAGCACACCATAACGCCCGCCGTTCCGGACATTCACCCAGCATCTCGCTCTTCCACTCCGAAGAAAACCAAAAAAGACTCAACAAGCAGTAAGGCCATTGAGACCCGCCCTGAAGCGGGCAAGACGCCAACAATCGCCAAGCCAGATCTAGATAAGCCAACCGCCGATTCGACTGAGTCTGTCGAAGTTACCGAGGATCGAGATTTTGAGTTGGAGGGGAGGATTGAAAGGAAGGAGGGGAAGGGGAAGACTGAGGGAAAGGCGGAGGGAAAGTCGAAGTCGGAAGGAAAGGGAAAGGCCGGAGAAGCTCTCTCTACAAAGGCCGAGAACCTACCTTCAAAGCCTTCAGCAAAGGCTGAAAAGTCTGCGTCCAAAGTTACTGCTGATACAAAGGTCACTCCGACTCCTTCAACCCCCTCCAGAGGACAAGAGTCTCCGGAAGAAAAGACCGAAGCCAAGTCTTCACTGTCTACTGCCAAGCGTCAACATCCTGGACCTCTACATATTCCGAAGAAGGAAGCTATCATTTCAGATGCTCCCATTACTGCGGATTCCGAACCAGCAAAGAATCCACGAGCAACATCGATATCAGCTTCGGCCTCGTCCCGACCTGTTACACCCACTGGAGTTACTGGGTCCCCGATGAAGCGCACGGCCCCTGGTATCATGCGCATCACCAACACTCCGAAGACAGAGACACCGCCTGTTCTGAGCGCTGCCGCAGCGCCGCCTACCATTCCTACCTTGGCTCAGATTCGTTCAAGACAACCGAGCGTGGCGTCCATCAATCAGCCCGGTACGCCTCTTAGTGAGTTTGTTTCCGATGCAGCTTCGATGACATCCGCATCCATGTCGAGGACCAATTCGCCTCCACCTAATAGCCGTGTTGGGTCTGCGCCTACGCGTTCGAAGACGAAGAGTCAAGCCAGGAAGGAAAGGCAAGAGCGTGCGCGCCAGATGACTGAAGAAGAGCTTGGAGATACCAACACCCCTACGGAGGAGCCTATTAAACAAGAGGCAATTCAAAGTCGTAAAAAGAAGGAAAAGAAGGCCAAGGCCCCCAAGCCTGGAAAGACGGTTGAATCTACGCCTGTTGATAGCAGTGAAGGCACGCCAGCGGTTGAAAAGAAGGTTGAATCGCCAGTTATCGAAGTGAAGGAGGAACCGGCACCGGAGGTTGCCCAGCCAGTGGAGACGCCAAAGCCAGCCCTCACCGCTGCCGGCATTATCGCGAAGCTTGAAGTTGCTGGCGAGATCAGTCATGATGCTGTTGAAAATATTTTTAAGAGCTACCCCTCGGGTCCCAACGATCGTCAGATTGCACTGGCTGACGTGCCGAACCGCGACCGAGAGTACCACATGGAAGACGATATGATCAAAGCTGTTGTGGAGTCTCACCAAGCACAGCGTCTCGGTGGCGAAGACGGCCGCATTTCATCACGGATTCTCGTCACGCCAACAGGCACCATCATGCGCGGCCTGTCCAAGGAAGAAGAAGACCGCTACCTCGAGCTAGAGGCGCGCCTGACAAGTTCGAGGCCGCCAGCCAAGTGGACCCAGACCAAAGACCCGCCGACGCTGGACCTCGACAAGATCATGCGCGGTCTGAACATCAAGACAGTGCTGGAGAGCGCAGAGAAGCTAGCACGCCAACAAGCGCAGCAAAAGGTGCAAGCAGCAGCCGGCACACCCGCCTCGGCCCACGCTGCGCGCGTCTACGACGAAGCCGCCAACTACAACGACGAGTTCATCATGCCAGCCAGCCCGACGACGCCATCGGCCCCCACCGCCGCAGCAGGAAGCACGCCGACAGCGACGTCACTCCCCTCGTCAGCGCAAGCAGCGGCCGTGGTAGCAGCGGCCGCGGCGACGGCTGCTGCGGGCCCAGCTCCGTTTGGCAGCCGCTACGTGCATCTGAACGGGGTGGAGCTTTCGGACGACACGGGCGCAGCGCTGGGCGTTGAGGTTGCGGGCAAGATTGCTGGTGCCGGTGGGTTTGGGCTCGGTGGTCGTGCGGGCGTCTCCGGCCTCGTCGATGTCGAGCGCGAGCTTAATTTTGAAAAGCAGCGCGCGAATGATCTTACGAAGAAGTTGAATGCTGCTGTTAAGCGGAATAGACGCATGGTTGCGAGTGCGGGGCATTGACTCGTGTTTTTGAGGACGGAGGGGCTGGTGTGAGTGTGTGAGGGGGTGTATGGGTATGTGCAGTACAGTTGCTATACATAGAGGAGCTGTGCGATGGCGGTGGTTTTGCTAGATGAGCGAAAGAGAAGGAAAAGTTTTTAGGGATGGATGGGGAGAGTCTCACGCGTTTTGCTGTTGCTGAAAAAAAGGTATTATATATTTGTACAGTATATAGGTGTATGAGTAAATGGGTAAGAAGTGTTGTTGTCTGCTCGAGTGGATTTATCTTGCATTTAATTCTTCCAATAATATTGTATTTCTTCATATCGCCGTTTCGTCAAGATAGTCGATCTATTGTCTTTCTATCAAATAAAATCAAAAAAATAGAATAGACAACTCTCCTTGCGGAGTCCATAAAAAAAATGCCATACTCCTAACCTCCCCTCGTATTCGAAGCGAGAACGCGCGTCCAAAAAGACCATCCCAACTCCCAAGGGAAGTCTAGAAGAAAAGAGCTCTGATTAAAGTTGCAGCCGAGTCGGCCATGACTCTAGGGCTCTAGCCTTTTCGCAGCAGTGATTTTCCCTGCCGGCCTAAGTATGTAGGGTGCTTAAGGATATTCCGATCGACACGAGCTCCATACTTGGCTGCTTCTAAGTATAGCACAATAGCAGCAAAGCCGTTTCCCTCCTGGGTACGCGACGTGGGTTTTGGTTTTGGTTTTTCTCCGATCGCTTGCTTCTAGAACGCCGCCGCGTCCTTGTAGATGCTGCCGATGGCCTTCTTCACGCATTGAAAATTTTCTTCTCGCAAGACCGTACGAACTCGGCCAGCAGCGAGCTGGGGTGGCTGCGTCTCGACTCCCCTCTCCTTCCCCCGCCCTTTTGTGACTAATATCGTGTCTGCTCTGCCTGTGAGCATTGTGTATGCATGCATGCGGGCGTGGGCCGTGCTTTGTGAGCACCACAGGAACGGCACGAAGCGGTCGAGTGGGGTTCGTCTGACGGCTAATTCAATCCAATCCGTACATACATACGTGCCTTGCCCACTTCGTCTCATCTCACGTCGCTGAACTCGCCTCCCCTGCTGGGCTGTAAGCGCACTGCCTGCTCACATCTCTTACCTCGTGCCTAAACGCACACATACTCGCGGCTTGCAGTCTTACCGTGCTGTTTATTCGCCCATTCATCCAGCCAGCCAGCCAGCCAGCCACATGGCCTTGTAGTGAAATCGCGAAACGGCATCACACCCTCGCTGCGCCACCCTTCCGACCGCAGCAGCACGCACAGGCGCCACACCGTCACGCCGTTGGCTATAGGAAGGCACGCACCACCACACCACCACCACCACCAGCGGCAAAATGTGGCAGTGGCAGTGAGTCCAGCGAGCGAGCGACCAAGTGAGCGAGTGAGCAATTGAGTAAGACTAACAATAACTAGTGAGCGCCAGACGCAGCACCCATCCACCCATCCACTCACACCGCACACACGCCCGCAGACATTTTGCATGCACGCCTACCCGCCTGCATCCATCACACGCTCCGGCTCCGGGCTCCCGTCCGCGCACATCGAGCTGCCCGAAGCGGCGTCGTGTCCGCGCTTCGGCCCTCTATTGGCCCACTTGTTCTTTCTGCGACCACGGCCGGTCAACCAATCAACTAACTGGCCATCACCATCACCATCACTATTCCCGTAGCAGACAGCAGACAGCACCATTAACTACCATCACCATCAGCAACAGCACAACAGTACACGTGAGCCATAACCACCATCCCCAACTCATCCCAGCCGCCCATCCCAGCCGCCCATCACCCCAGCCGTCCACGCAGCAGCAGCCCTCCGCGCCAAAAGCGGCACCTCTCCCGCCGCGGCGCAGCAGCAGCAGCAGCACCAGCCAGGGGGGTCCGCCAGGCCGCCGCGTGGTGGTGGTGTGGCTGAACGGACACAGCGGGTCGATTCGATCGCCTCCCGCGGGCCCCGCCGCGACAAGCTGCCGCTTTGGGCATGTCGCTGCTCGCTCGCGTGGTGGTGTGTGTATGACCTCATCGGTGCAAGGGTGAGTTTTTCTCGTCAGGTACGGGACTGGGTCTTGGTCTTGGTCTGGGCTGGGCAGGACAGAGGGTTGCATCGTGGCGGGCCGCCGCCTACCCTATCGAAAGACTGTCGTGACTGCATTGCTCTGCTCTGCTTACTGCTTGCTGCTCATCCTCGTAGTTGCGCTTCGCATTCCTTGTTCGATCTAGCTACCTCCTACCTACTTGTACACGCACGCGCTCCCAGAATTGACACACACACACAAAAAAAAAGAAAAAAACACGACGACGGGGCAGAAAACGAGAAGAGAAGAGCAGAGCCGGGCAGAGTAGGCCTAAAAGGGAGGGAATAGACCAAATTTGGCGTCGAAAGGTTTAAAGACGGGAGGAAAGAAAAGAAAAGAAAGAAAGAAAGAGAGGAAGAAAGGAAGAAAGAAGACAAACCACACACTCCCCAGTTTTTAGTGTTTTTGCTTTCTTCCAAATATGTAAAAGACAAACAACAAAACGGGCCTTTGAAGTCATCATTTTGTCGGGCTGGCGCAAAAACCCGTGACGCCAGGATATTATTTCCGTCCTCCGCCGTAAAACACCGTCTCGAGCCCCCGTATAGCCACGAGTCTGAACGCAACAAAGATAAAAAAAAAAAAAAAAAAAGTTCGTGAAGCCGGTTTTCTCGTTGATAGAGGGGATCAATGCTAAAGCGAGTTGAGACTGAGAAGAGAGAGTGAGA